ACGGAGGCTGACAGCTTATTATTGCTGACTTTATATTTTGCGTGAAAGCATTTCTTTGACCACATGAATAATATAATCGGGAGTAAATTTCTCAATTTTTCTTCTTGGAAAATGTGACAGTAAATATATTAGTTTTGAGAATATATAAAAATTACAAATGTTGATTATAATAGTTATTAGGTAGTGAGTGCATTAGTCTCTGAAAAAAATAAAACTAACATGACTAATATTTGTGTTACGAAAGAGTTTTTGTATTTTTATAAACTATTGTATTTACTGTCAAATTTCTCAATGACAAATTTAGAGTTTATTTTAATAGAATATTAACGGAGTTTTATACTTTCTTATTATAGTCTAATTAAGCTTGGTTAAAAAAGAGAGAAATATTGATCAAGAAAAGAGAAAAAGTTCATGTAAAATAAAAAACGAAATTTCTTAAAAAGAAAAAGAAAAATATATTTTAAAATTATAAAAAGATATATATGAAGTAGTGGCTGGTGCCTGGTGGTTGGTAGACACGGAGAAAAAAAAATATAAGCATAAAAGAAAGGATTGAGAATGTCAAAGTTCAAGTGCCACCGTTAAGGATTCATATTTAAAGTGTTTCATGAAAGTACGAATCAATTTCGATAGCTATATCTGAAAATGACATTTGCACGGGAAGAAAGTAGGTAGGAAGATGGTGTACGTAGACGTAGTTGTAGTTATTATCGGTCAATGCATTACGTTTATAAATTATGATTTTTATAAAAATTATCTTGTAGGAAAAATAATTGTGTAATATTATAGAGATTCATTTTGTGTGTTATAGTTTTTTTTTTTTGCTTTAAAAAGTGTGGGGCTCATAAAATGTTGTGTGTGTAGAAAAGTTTTTCAGGTCATGTTAAAGGACAAACTAAAACCCCATAAATTATAATACGAACTTATTAATTAAAATAAACTACGCCACCAATTGTATTGAACCTTTCAAATGAGATATATTCTGCACCCTTAAGTCTATAGATACCAATTTTTTGACGTAACATCATCGCGTTCCGTAGTTAGCTAAGCTTATCTCCATAATTAACCATTAGATATAAATAAATCCTTTCATTCTATTTATTATATATGGGTTTTATAATTCTTGAGAATTGAAATCTTATGTTATAGAGATAAAAAGCATGTGGGACCCATGTATCAGAAAAGATTATATATAAGACCTATGTTAGCACGGAAATCGAAGAGTGTGTAGGAAAATTTTAATTGTTGAATGAGAATTATAAAACTTATTATATATTTATGAGAATTCAAGTTATTCTACTTTGGTATGTTTTACCCACTCAGCCGCCTGATTATTCAGATTTTAAATACAGTACCAACTCAGCTATTCAATAAATGTATTCATTTCACCAAATGGTGAAATCGACAATCACATAGAATCGAGAAAACAGAAAAAGAGATAAGAGTAGAGAGATTGACACGATGATTTACCCTGGTTCACCCAAGCTTCACTACTAGAAAAAACTTGTATAGCGAGGGAATTGTTATGGAAATTCCGTCGCTAATTTCATCCTCGCTACTATTTTCCGTCGCAAATTCCCTCGCAAACGATTTTGCGAGGGAATTTGCGAGGGAAAATAGTAGCGATGATGAAATTAGCGAGGGATTTTCCATAGCAATTCCCTCGCTATACAAGTTTTTTCTAGTAGTGCTTGTCTGTACTATATTCACCTCACCGCCACTCGTTACAAGTCTCTCGGTTTACAAGGCAAATATAAATAGGATTACAAGAAACCCTAACAGCAGCTATTCATGGGCCCAAGCCCAAACTGCTAAGAAAATTACAATAGAAACAGAGGCCTAAACATTACCTAGCCTCTACGAGCGGGACCCCAGTTGCTTTTCTGCTGACCCCGACAATTAGGGCCAACATCATTATGTGAAGTATGAGCCATACCCAACAGGTCAGTGGGTAGCAAAGGAGTCGAGTAAGCGAAAAAGAAATATTTTTGGTTCATCCCCACATATCATCTTTGAGGGATTTAAATATCTTTTTCATCAATGACCCGCCCCACATTTCAAATAATCTCATAACCGGCTTAAAGAGTTAAAATTTTGAAGATACAAGGAAGGGAGTCCAGTAGCGGACCCAGAAAATGTTATTTACGTCTGCACATTCTATCCTTATTGTTAAGAAGATTTTTGAGCCACCATCTTGCAAAACTCCTCTATACACAACACCATACCCTACTTCCGCAATCTTCATTGATCAAATCCACGTGTTACAACCTCCACTTCCTTTAAGCTATACTAGTAATCCCCACCCTATATTCGAATCCTCCATAAACACATCATTGCAGTGGATTCAAAAAAACAAAAAACAAATTCAAAAGTTAGGGTCTGCATTTACAGTCATGTGAACCCAAATAGGTCCGCTACCGAGAGAGCCAACTCATCTTTAATTAGGGTTTGGTTAACTCCAAATATATATATATATATATATAGGGTTAGGATCATTTTACACCAGTGTAAGTTACACTCTCAATCTTGTCCATTGATCTCACTTATATCTAAGGGCTCTAATTTTTTAGTAATGTGAGTCATTGGATACAAGTTGATCAATGATCAAGATTGAGTGTAAGATTTCTAACTCTTACACCAGTGTAAGAATATCCGGCCCCATATATATATATATATTCATTTCCCTTATCTCATCTGATGCCTTACTGTCAAAGAACTGCATATTACGAACTCGATCAATAGATTCTTTGTTTTAGTCAAATTAGTATTCATGCTCCACTTTGTAGCAAAATACTTCAGTCATCTGTAGTCTAATAGATATGATGAAAAATTGTTCCTCCTTGTTATCCATGTTCATATAGTGTGTAATTTTTTCCTTAAAAAGCGTCTATCTAGTACAATTGTAAACATTGATAACTGTTGCCTATGTTGCACCGACATCAATATGGGACACGAGATACGACACGACACGACACTCCGACACATTAATTCTAAAAAATATTAAATTTCGACACGTTAGGACACATTTTGATATTATATAATTTGTTTAATTTATGTAGTGTATATTATATTTAATATTCAATAATTTAACAAAAAAATAAAGATAAACTTATGATACCCATCAATTTTGCAAAGAAACATAAGATATCTCAAATGTTTATATTAAACTCAATAAAATAGTAATCGTAATTCAAGGAATCTAATAGTTGGAACTCAAAATGCAACACAACGTAACCTTTGAACTTTTTTTGAGTCTTTGCAATGAGTATTGGAATGTCGAGAAGTATCGGAGTATCGAAAAGTATCGGACACGACACGTCAGGAATTTTGAGGTGTCGGTGCTTCATACACTGCTGCTATAAATATTAAAGTAAACATATTCAATATTAGATAGTAAAAGAGCAATTCAGTCAAATTTTGTGTTCATCTTTCTGGCATATGTGATTATTGATCTCGTTAGATCTTGCTTTTGACTGGAGATATATGACTACTACGCTCTGATGTTTTGCTTGTATTTTTTCGAACTCATTGAATAAAATCCTGAAGACATTATTTGCATTACTACTTTAAAAGAGAATTTTAGAGCAGGTCTCTAATGATATCTAATGACTTATTGCCTTGCCATATTCCAATGGTTTGAAAATTGGTTTCTTGTCAACCGGTCACATTTTATTGATCCATCAACTGTATTTAATAAGAAATCAACATAGAGCTCTTAAAAATTTTATGCGTGACCCAATGAGTGCAGTTCAGTTGGTAATTTGGCGCTGAGTTAGTGGGGTTGGATATGTGTTCGATTCCCGCTGAATGCATTCTTGGGGAGGGGGCTGAACCTTTAGCCATCACTGTTCCCCCGCACTCCGAATTAGTCCCATAGCCGGCTCAAATAGTCGAAGCTCGTGGGGATACCGGAGGGAGCCAACTCGTCTCAAAGAGATAATTAGGGTTGGGTAACTCCAAAAAAAAAAAAAAAAATTTATGCGTGGGCAATATTAATTAATGTTTTTGCATTTTTTATAATAATCGGATTAATGGATATTCTAATTTAATCTATTATGATAAGCCCACTCTGATCATGTTGAATTGGGCTTTTGGCATCTTTTAGTATTAGACTTAGTTGGGCAGCACAGTGTAGACATTAGTATCTAATTGAGCTTCTGTGATTGATGGACCCATCAGACACAGTGACACACACTGTCGATTAAAGTTTTGCTAGGTCCCCTCTCTAGTCTATTTATATTGAGATTAAGCTCCATGAATCATCATGCTCCCATCGCAGAAGGCTGCCATTTTGAAATAGGTCATAGAGAGGAAGATTTTAGCCTTGAAATTGCTTAGTAGAAGATAAGATAGCCAAATCAGATACATAAATTCCTCTCAAAATAAAATCAATATGTGGTGTTTTATATGTCATGTATATATCGATCCTATTGATGTATTATCTCGAAATAATTCTTACAAGAGCAAGATAGTTATTGTGTTATGAACTTATGATCGTTACCAACTTTAAGAATTAACATTTTCATTTCAGCCCACCTTCCAAGAAGCCCAAGTTCTCTCAGAAATTTCAAAAGAAAATACATTTTCACTTGGTACGGACAGAAAATTCCCATAGAAGCATGCGTAGGCCTAGACAGTTGCTAGCACCGTAGCTGCAATCTATAATGAATATTTTTGTTTTTGTTTTTTTTAGAAAAATTCATCACATATTCTGCTGTCTGCAACAGAAAATGCCTAATGAAGAAAACAAAACATTGCTGCTTTCTTGACTGTTTTTTTCTTCATTTCAGAACTTATGTGCTTTCAAGTACAAACCTGCTCTCTCCCCCTCCCCCAAAAAAAATAAAAAAAATACAACCTCCTCCCACCCCACTTACATTTGCACAAGTTCTTCCTTGTTAGAAAGCAGGAATTATATACCAAAAATGCATCGTCAATTTTGATTTCTGACCTTCAACTTTACCAAGAGATGCAATGCAATATACCCTTCATCTTATTCATTATCTCCTCTTTGCTAATTGGAATGTTCTCTTTAAGAACAGATTTGCAGCTCTGTCATTTCTATGGCACAATATCCTCAATATTGTGTTGGGGTCTGCTCTATTCCACTTTCCTGTAGTAGGAGGCATTGGCAACTTCTGCCCATTACCCATCACACCCATTCCACTTGATTCACAAGTCACAATGCTGAAATCTTCCATCAACTGTTCAGTACTTTGGCCCATTAATGCAATAACTCCCTCCACTACTGCAGCCTCTCCATCCACCACATTTTCTGCTATCAATCCTTCTACACAATTGCTGAAAACTTTCTTCAAGTTGTCAAAATCCTCTTGGATGATCTCATGGTCAGACCTGTGAAACACACGGGAGCTTCCACCAGCAAGAAAAACCATAAGGAATGAATCAAATGATGCCTTCATGACTTCCTTCATTGCCATTGGTTGAGCTCTATCTGTAAGAACTGTAGTCATTAGTGTTATATTCTGCTTGAGGATTCTCAACACAGCTCTAATCTGGCCTCTTTCTACACCACCAATGTAGAGGCTCTCATAGAAGACAGAGTTTGAGTCAAGGAATACAAGACGGTATGCAGCAACTTCTGAGACATGTTGGCATGCTGCTAGAATGGACAAGTTCACTGCTTCAAAGTATGAAGAACTGTTGCTTTGATTCCTGCGGTGGTTGTTTGCAAACCGAAGGCGATTTGAAGGAACAACTCCAGGGTTCATTGAGAGTGATTTCTCAAGAGAGTGGATTTGAGTAAGGAGATAGTGCAAAGTGTTGAGACGAACATAGAGGCGTTGCGTTCCACGGCTAGTTGATGGCCTAGGATTTTGACCTTCATGACTTCCATTTATGTGTTGTTGATCTTCAAAACCAGAACTGCATGGTGCAGCTTTCTTCCACAGCTTGATGAATTTGGAATCCCGGTTGCATCTGGTTAGTGGGGGAAGCAAGGGAATGTAACTCTGCTTTGAACCTGAAAGAGAGAGTGAAGGTTGAAACAAATTCATTCAAACTTTGCTAGTCTATTGTGGCAATTTTTCTGTCCTTTTTTCTCCTATTGTTATATGAATTCACTGTACTCACCACATGCTGCAACAAACATCATGTAGTCCTGGAAGAGGTTTTCCAATCCATCAGCAAGATCTTGAACTAAATCTTCTGTAATTGCTATTGGAACTTGGAAGAATTCTTCCACAGTTGTTGCCGCCAATTTCGTCAGCTCCGCAGCTGATTGTGCATATAGCTCTGATTTGGACTTTGGATTCCATGTCTGCAATAAAAAGAAAAAGAAATTATAAACCATATTCTATGATCAAAAAACAAAAAATCTATAATAAAACACAATTTTTATGTCCTTCTAAGATGAAGAAGGATTGAGGATCATAAAGCCAAAACTTACTTCAGTTTCTTTTGCTCTTTGCACACACTCTTTGCCTATGTACAATGATTCATCTATCCATTTTCCCAGAAGACTCAATATGACTGAATCAACATCAAAGGGAGCCATCTCTCTCACAACTGTTTTGCCACCATCCTCACACTCAGCAGAGTCTTCAACCACTATTTGGACAATTAACTTTTCTAGCTTTCCAGCCCTCTGCAATACCTGAACTGATTCAGTTGTTAGTGAGGTCACTTGAAGTATGTACTGCCTCAGCACTTGCCCATAGCAGGTGTGCAGCATCATTGCTGCAACTGCACCTGATGTTGAGTGCCATTTCTTTAGCATTGGACTAAAATGATGTCTTTCCTTCATCATCAAAACTTCAGTCTCCTGAGCTAATTGAAGTAGAACTTCACTCAATTCTTTCTTTCTTTCATATTCACCATATTTGGTATTCACTGCTTCTAATACCTTCATTCATAAAAAAAAATACATTATGATTAATACAAGAATTGACTAATTAATTTAGAATACTATGAAGATGATAGATTATGTACATACCTTTTCAAATGCATTTTTCATGGAAGAACGAATATAATTATCAACCCGGTCACCGGATGAATCCACTATGGTTATGTCACCTTTCTCTCCCCCTTCCCCATCTGTGATTGTAAGATCTTCACCTAAAATCCTTGATGCTGACAACACCACAGGAAGGAGGTTTTCGATTTGGCCAGCATTCCCTCTCTGGAAATAGTCATGGTAATTAAGCAATCTCTTCTCTGCCCAACCCTGCATTGAGCTCAGCACTGATGAAAGTATCTTAACATACAAAGATTCCTTTTCTTTCTTAGCATCATTTGCCACCTCATACAACATGGCATGTGAGGCACAAAGGAGGTCAGGTTCTATCTGCCCAGTTGCTATGTACTGATGAAACAGGACCCAAGTGAAGCACACATTGTGAATTGGCAAGGTGATACCCAATGTAGACCATGTCTTCTTGATTAACTCAAGTAGCTCATCAACTTCATCTAGGACTAATGTGTCATCCCTGATGTCAAAAATGGACTGAAGAAGAGAAGTATAGAGGTGAATGTTGAAAGGGAAACCATCAGCCCAATGACAAACATCAGTGGGAGTACCATTGTGGCTTCTCCATGACAAGGAAACCACAGAGTTGCAAAGGGTTCTCATGGTGTCAGAGTTTTTGCCAGTGTCTATAGGTTTAGACTCCCCACTTGTTATGATGTCTCTGAGACGCGTGGCAAATGTGTTGGTCTTTTCTAAAGGGATTGAAGGGTAAAGAAGGAGCCCAGCTTCAAGGATCTTGAGCTGCCTCATTTGCCACATATGATACTCATTGGAATCACTGAATTCTGAAGGCTTTAGGTGCCGTAACAGTTCCAAGGGCAGGATTATAGTTTCTGCACGCCTTCCCACCTGGAATTGCAAGAAGCATTTACAAATATTTATACCAAACAAACGTTATTGTTGTATGACATAACTCATTGAAGTGAAGTAAGAGAAAATTTGCATAAAACACCATAAAGTTAACAAAAAGGAAAAAGTTTTGTACTTTTAAAGTAGGGAAAAACAACTATCATGTTGTAGGAAAATTCTCTTGTCATGTTATAGAGACAATAAGTGTGGAATCTATCATGTTTAAAATAAAAAGAAAAGAAAAGAAAGCATAACACAAGTATCAATGTATGTGTAGAAAATTTTGCATGTAACATGACGAATGCAAAACCCTTTAAAGTAAGGTTGGGTGTTTTTAGCCGTTATAATTATGTACGATAATTAGTACATATTTATAATATAAAATTGTACTTTGTTTCCTCTCTTTAGAAATTGTTTGCTAACATGAAAAGTAAAAAAATATAACTTTAATATTATAACTATGTACTAATACATAATTATAACTCCTAAAAGGACACAACTACATATCCTTTAATAAGATACACACTGAGCCTTTAACAAAAACAATTATAGTTATTTCAATTTAACTAATGATATCAAGTTTGAGTTCTATCCAACTCACGAGATTCTACTCGACTCGAAGAGTATTTAGTTTAATTAGTGATATCGAATTTGAATACTATCTAGGCCAGGGATCCTATCCAACTCGAATTCGACTTGTAATAATATATATATATATATAAAACAACATTTAGAATTGATTCACATACTTGGCCAACGAGTGTCCTCATGAGGGTCTTCCTTAACTTATTATCATCGTGTTCTGTCACCCTCATCTGTTGTCTCATGATCTCCGCCGCGGTCATGGGACGCCGTGGCCTAAAAGGCGGCACGGTGTGCGACAAAGGGCTGCTTGCTCCACCCACCGGGGACGAAGGCGTCGAAGACACTCCGTTGCTCCCGACGCCGAAAACCATTCTCTTCGACAGCGATCTCCTCAACATCTTCAACCCTAATGCCTTCTTCACCCTGCTCGTTGGCTTCGTCACCACCTGGTTCGACTTCCCGCCATCGCCGCCGTTCTCGTAGTTAGAGTAGAACGTCAGTGCATGGCGGCCACCGAACCCCGGCGACGACCGGCATGACGTGAAGAAGATCTCATACGCCGTTTCCCTGACGGCGTCGGAGTCTAGATCGTCGAGCTTGCCGAATGGCCATGCGAGGTCGTCGGCGCAGCCGCAGGAGGTGGCGGAAGCGACATCAAGGCGGCGCTGGCCGTGGTGGTGGAAGTCAATGCGGGTTAATGAGGTGGAAGGGTAGGATTCATGGCGGGTGTGCTGACCCATGCGGCGGCGGGTCAGGAACCTGCTATGAAGGGTGGAGGAGGCGGTGGAGGTTTTTGAGGTCAAAGAATGTCTGGGGGTAGAGAGCGAGGAAGGAAGAAATGCATTTTGTGGATATTAAAAGGAAGAGAGAGATGTTGCATGTTGAGGTGTACTTCGTTTTTTGTTAGTTAATGAGACAGCAGTTTCATGCAATGTTAATAGAGAGAGAAAGAGATGAGTGATGATGAGTTTGCCAACGTTGTTAAAGAGCGAAGAAAACGATGTTTCCTTTGCCAAAAACAGAAACCTCTTCGCATTTTTTCAGTGCTTATTTCTCGGAAGTGATTTTGTGTTCTTTTTAATTTGTTTGTTTGGTTTTGGATAGAGAAGAGAAGCAATTTGAAGCATTATGGCCAACGGGCAGTAATTGTTGTCACCTTCTGTTTTTAGTTTTGGGAGACAAAAGTTTATTTGAGCTCTAACAGGTAGCATTGCTCATTACTCATTAGACACATCATTTGCATTGTCATTCATATAAAAGATGCCTAACTGATATCCTTAATTTTTATTGCTTAAAATAACATTCACTGCTCTATCCCTTTTCGTTAGACACATAATTGATCTATAATTTCTTGTCCCCAAAAGCTATATTGAAAATGACTTTTTGTTTGATTTGGGTAGGTTTGGCATTTGTGACCGCCTAGTAGTTCCCAACTCCCTCCATCACATTAGACATGGGGTTTTTTATTTGCTAAAATAACAAAAGAAAACGCACCACAAAATAAACTGTACTTTATTTGATTGTTAAAGTAATATAAGTAATTGATATGAAGTAATTTAAGAGACAATATAATACATTATTCATGATCTCAATTATCATATAATAATTATTATTTATTGCATTAATTAATATTTATATGAAATGAAAAAAAATAAAGATATAAGAGTTAATGAAATTTGAGATATACAAGCACGATCGTGGCACATGATATAATCCTATTAATTGTGCATGGGGATGTACATACATTTTATTCCATGTAGTAGTATGAATTCCTCGTAAATGGAACTAGTTGCGTAATTGTTTTGAAAAGTTATTTCGAAAAGGCAGGAGCTTGTTACATAATAATAATAAATTTTACACACAATTTTAACCATTGATTTTTGTAAATGTGACTATGGTAATATATTATGAATTAATAATTAATTAATTAGTTTATCTCAATAAATTATAATTATATGATGCACGGAAATCACGACTAAAATTGTGTAAAATTTACACCGGTTTAAATTCATTCTATCCCTATTTCAAATCTTATTATTCCTCTAAATATTTTCTTCACAATTGAGTGTACTTGGTCTGTTCACACCGTTTTCATAATGGCTTGCTAAGAGATTGGTTTTAGGGAAAATTATTTGTGCTTTAAAAGGATGTAAGTTATGTCCTTTTAATTTTTTTACTTTATGTACTTTCAGTAGTACATAGTTATAACATGAAGAAAAAAAATTATCTCTCCTCAATCACATTAACTGACATGGAAATTGAAAAAAAAAAACATATCTCATGTTATAACTATGTATTATCGGAAGTACATAGAATAAAAAACTAAAATGACACAACTTATATCCTTTAAAAAAACACATATTAAACCCTTTTTTTTAATATGGAAAATATCTAAAAGCAGCTATGATATCATATAAATATTTTAAATGCTTATTCATGGCAAAAAAATTAATTTAATGCTTTTTAATTAAGAAATTACAAATTTACAGCTATTTATTTTCAAAATGATTATGCATTTATTGCACAATGTCACGCCCTATTTGGACGTCACATATCACGCCCAAAGAGGGTGTCATGTCCTGGTGGGTCACGCCCAAACCAGGAGTGATATGTGACGCCCAAATGGGGCGTCACCCACCAACCCTACAAAAACCCTCATTTTTCCATTTTACTATTTCATACTCTCACTCTAACCTCACTCTAACCAAGTTGTGCTCTCGACCATACGTGGAATTTTTCGTAGCGAAGCTCTGCTAACATAAGTAAATTCTTAATACCTGCTATGTATACATTTAAATTACAGTGTTGCGTTACGGATATGGTAGGATTTATCGTATATTAGTGACTTAGAAAATAATGATAGTGACTTAAGAATTTTGTACCATGCTACGAATGCTTTAATGACTTAGGAATTTTTTTGTTACGTAGCTATTATTATTATTTAATTATGTATTGGGGTTTAGCGTATAGTAGTGATTTAGAAAATAGTGATAATGACTTACGAATTTTGTACCATGTTATGAATGCTGGAGTGACTTAAGAACTTTTTAGTGACTTAGGTATAATTATTATTATTTAATTATGAAATAATTTGTGACTTAGGTATTAATATTATGTCATTACGAATTAATTAGTGTTCGAGGTATTATTATTATTTCATTACAAATAAATTAGTGTACTACGTATTAATATTATTTCATTACTTACGATTGTAGTAAATACGTAGGGTTTATGCTTAATAATTTTGATAGTAAATTAGGGCTTTGCTTAATTAATTTGTAAATAAAATTTGTTGTTAGATGTGATTAATTTCAATGTTGTTTTATATAGTTTTTTATAATGGGTGATTCATAATCATCTGGGGGTTCTGCATCCGATCACGAGGCAGAGCCTACCGATCCTACTATGTATATCATACCTGGGCCATATAGATGGGAGGTCCTTCGGAAGAGGACGCAGAGTGCTCTCAATTACAATTGCATCTTGATGCTCCCTAAAGAGATTGTGCTTTAGTGCCATTTGAACCTCTTTTTTGTTGCAAATTCTTGGTTCACAAATAACTTGTCACCCAGTTGCCATGGACCTTGTATTGATCCCGATCCTGAAACTGAACCATCAATGTGTGATTCTTGTTCGCTCCGATAACTCCAATCAATATGTGTGTAATGCAGAATTCCTTCCCAAAAAGGAATAACAGCCTCGTCCCCTGCATATAGTAATTAAAACATCTTAATACAAACATCCTAAATCAGATATATAATTATTCTATAAATTACCTTCATGATGATTTCGTAATTGTGTGGAGCCAACGTCATTAAGTTGCAGGATTTGAGCGTCCACTGGTTCATGGTATATTGGGATTTCAGACGCGCCCATATCACCACATTCATCTCCTTTTGAAGCACTAGAATCCTCGGTCAAAAGACGTTCTTCCATTGCGATATTTTCATCATCATCGTCGTCGTCGTCATGCATAACCTAAGTCGGATCATTTTCACCTCCCTAAAAAATGTTAGCAACTGGAGAAACATGAGCGGCAAAAGTTGATGCAAAACGTGGAGAATTTAAAGCAACTGACATCACCAGTAATGGAACATCCTCCGATCCGGCAATGTCCACATACAACTATAGAAAATCTTTCCTTGACTGGTTGAAAATGTTTTCCATTATCATCTCCACGTCTTCATCGTCAACCACTTGCAAACTAATGTATTTTTTAGATTGCCATAACCTTATAGTGATCTGAGTGATACATTAGTTACCTTGAAGACTTAACTTCTGACGAATTCTCTGATGCAGTTCTTCAATGGTTGCGTTGCGTTGGATACGTGTCGGCCTTTTTTCAACTTTAAACATAACACGTCATCGACCTTCTACCTTTCTACCATTGTAATATAACACAACACGAACAAACTAAGAATGTGTGTAATACTCAAAAAAATAAATAAATAATACGTTCACGCCTGCAGCGCATAGGCTGTGCTTGCAGCGTGAACCTTCAAAGGAAGTAAGCGCCGATTAGCATATATACATATATATATATATATGTTTACATAATAATAATAATAATAATAATAATTATAAATAAATAAATAAATAAATAGTAATAATAAATAAATAAGTAATTGAATATTAAAATAAATAAATAAAATAAATATAATAAAAATAAAATAAGATAACATAGTAGTAAATAAATATTAAAAAATATATATATAAGTAAATATTATAGGTTTTCAATAAATAATATTGTTATTTGTATTATAATAATTTAAATAAAAAGTAAATAACAAAAGAAATTATAACATTGTATATATAAGCTATCTATTATATGCAATAAAAGATTACGTGGTATATAATACAAATATTATTTTATTAGTAACATTATAGTTATCCTTATATACACCAAATAAAAAAAATAACAATAAGGACTAATCTAGAAGAGGCAACGTGGAAGATGAGGTAGATGTAATAAGATTCTTAATGATTGTTTTTGTTAAAGGATAGTTAGATTTGAAAGAAATTTAGTTAATTTGATTAGAATCTAAATATATGTAATGATGGGCCAAGTCAAAAATGAGTCAATTTGATTGCCTATATATATGAAGGTGGGGTTGCTAACTGAAGAAGGAAAAAAAATTATAGAGTATCAGAAAGAGAGAGACAGTAGCAAAAGAGAGAGACCAAGAAAAGAAGAAAAAAAGAGAGGAAAGAAAGGTAATATTGAGAGATAAAAACTTTCTCTCATTTTCTCTTCTTTTCACTATTCTTTTGAAAATTTTAACGGTACTGTTATTCTGCCAAATTTCTTTCTTAAATTTCTTCTCTACTTGATTTTATTCATATCTTTAGCTTTATTATTAATTAGTCCTAAGATCTTATTTTTTTTAAATAGTTGATTACTGGTGGATGAGTTATTTGGTACCAAATAAATACTAAAAGAATGTGTAATTTTAACTGTAAGATGCTGCTGTGAACTGATCCATAAAATTTGGGATCAGACAGTTAAAGGGTAAGGGACGTCTTATCATGGTTTGAGCTCCGTCATACAGAACTTTTCACATGCAGGAGACCCACATAAATTGGGTATTTAAATAGCTTCAGTTAAATATTATACAGTGTAGTGTTTATTATTATTCTACTGCTGTTTCATTTTTCTATTGAGAGAATGATATTTTCTGTTACTACAACTGAAAATGGTTATAGTTAAAAAAAAAGGAACCTCAATATTACTGAGAAATTTTCTCATGTTTTATTTATGTTGCTAACCTTTCCAGAAAATCATAATGCCTAGCCTAAGCTTGTCAGGTGAAGGATGGTGTATCAATCTTTACTCTTACGATGATCGCATGGAATTCTATATTGTAGTAGGAAATCAAGGAGCTGCTGCAATATTTTATGTTGAAAGTGTGGAGACCTACACCTATAGACTAGATTAGGATAAGACCCATGCATTGTATAATTATGTGATGTAAGGATGTAAGATACAAATAAAGTGATGTAATATATAGTAGGATGTAGGACCAGTGTAAAATATTTCCAGTATGTACTTGACTCAATGATATGTATAAAGTGACGTTAGTAGATGTTTGTTTAAGTTTCATTTTTAATTTTCTTATCGTCAATATTAAAATTTAAAGAAATCATGTAATATCCCTTATAAGAGTTAATATTAAGGGATGTTACATTTTATTGTATCAGAGCAGCGGTTCAGGTAAATAAAAGGCTAAACTATTATAGTTGCTTGATATTTGTTATAGGTCATGCATATTTTGAGTTATTTTAATGAGTCTGATCAACTCACTATCAAAAAACAATATATGTAGATCTATGGCAGATATCTTCAACTTCTGAACCAGAAGTTAACCCAGTAACAGATGCGTTTACTCGAGTGGCAGAAGCTCTTAGAGAACAGATTGTAACTAATCAACAAATTATTCAGGAGTTGAGGGAGGACCGTGTAACAAGAAATCACACCCATAATTCTGAAAGTGAAAGTGGACCTAGAAATGAAAATACTTAGGGAAGACTTAATTCTGATTATAAAGGACTCATTGAATTCCGTAAGCATAAACCTTCCACTTTTCGTGGATATTATAATCCTGAGGTAGCCATGGAATGGGTGAAAGAACTTGAGAAAATATTCCTGATAATGGACTGTCCTAATACTCATCGTGTAAACTTTGCCACATACTTATTGATTAGAGAAGCAGAGCATTGGTGGACAAATACCAATAGATATTTCCAAAGCCAAAGAATAGAGATTACTTGGACAACCTTTAAAGATGCCTTTTTGGGAAAATACTTTCCTCAAAGTGTAAGAAACAGAAAAGAAATAGAATTCCTTGAACCGAAACAAGAAAATATGACTGTTGGGGAATATGTGGCAAAATTTGAAGAACTATCCAGATATTCTAATTATGTACAAAACCAACCTAATGAAGAATGGTTGACAACTAAATTTGAATCTGGATTAAAACTTGAACTAAAAAGTATGATAATAGGACATCAAATCAGGAATTTTTCATCATTAATAAACAGGTGCATAGACATTGAAGCAAGCATGAAGGAAGCTGAGGAGGGAAGAGAGAAAGACAGAGTTTCAAGTCGGAGAAAGAACGATGACAACAACAGACAGAGGTTTTCAAGGGCACAAAACTCAGGAAATAACTTTGCTAACAACAGAGGAAGGAAGAATATAGGTAAGATGAATCCTCAGATTCTAGCATGTCCAAAATGTAAAAAGAATCATGCTGGAGAATGCCTAGCAAGAAGAGGTGTATGCTTTAAGTGTGGAAAACCTGGACATATGTTGAGACAGTGTCCTCAGAATCAAGGTCAGAAATTATCAACCCAATCTGCAACAAGAGGAAGAGTTTTCACTCTTAGTGGTCAGGAAGCGGCTCAAGTTTCAAATTTGGTTAAAGGTACTGGTCTAATACAAGATTCTCTTATAACTATACTGTTTGATTCTAGGGCTACTCATTCTTTCATATCCTTAACTTCTGCTCAAACGTTAAAATTACCAATTTCCATTTTACCTTCTTATCTTGAAATCTTTCTTCCTACTGGAGAAAAGATAATCACATCTCAAGTATGTAGAAATTGTCATTTTCAACTCAAAGGAAAATTGTTTGAGATAGATTTAGTTTGTTTGCCTATGATTGATATAGATGTGATTCTTGGTATGAATTGGTTGTCTGCTAATAGTGTGGTCATTGGTTGTCATAATAAAAGTATAATTTTCACAAAAGAGTCAGAACTTCCCAGTGAATCTTTATTCTTGTCAACTTCCCAACTTAGGAAGATTTTGCTAGATGGAGCACAATGATATGTTCTCTTTAATCTTTCAGGAGCAAAGGCTAAACCTGATGCAACCAGTATCCCTATTGTCTCTGAATACTTAGAGGTTTTTCCGGATAAAATTCCAGGCTTACCCCCAAACAGAGAAATTGAATTCTCCATTGACCTAATACCTGGAGTAGGGCCAATTTCTATTGCACCCTATAGGATGTCACGTGTAGAACTTGTTGAACTAAAGATACAATTAGAGGAACTTCTATCAAAACAGTTCATCAGACCAAGTGTGTCACCTTGGGGAGCACCAGTTCTTTTTGTCAAGAAAAAGGATAGAAGTATGGGATTGTGTGTGGATTATAGGCAATTAAATAAAGTCACCATTAAAAATAAATACCCTTTGCGTAGGATAGATGACCTTTTAGACCAGTTGAGAGGAGCCACGGTGTTTTCTAAAATAGATTTGAGGTCAGGATATCACCAGATTAGGATTAAGACTGAAGATATTCCAAAAACAGCCTTTAGGACTAGGTATGGACATTATGCGTATCTAGTGATGCCTTTTGGATTGACAAATGCTCCAGCAGTATTTATGGATTACATGAATAGAATTTTTAGATCTTACCTAGATCAATTTGTAGTGGTGTTTATAGATGATATTTTAATATATTCCAAGAATAAAGATGAGCATAAGGAGCATTTAAGGATACTATTACAAATTTTGAAAGATAAGCAATTGTATGCCAAACTTTCAAAATGTGAATTCTGGATGGAAGAAGTTAAGTTCTTAGGGCATGTTATTTCAAAAGAAGGAGTGACATATGATCCTAGTAAAATTGAGGCCGTAATACACTGGGAGAGACCTAAGACTATCACTGAGATCAGGAGTTTCCTAAGATTAGCAGGATATTATAGAAAATTTATTAAAGGATTTTCACAATTAGTATTACCTTTAACTAGGTTGACTAGAAAGGGAATCCCTTTTGTTTGGACACAAGAATGTGAAGATTGTTTTCAAGATTTGAAAAATAAGTTAACATCTGCACCAATTTTAATAATCCCTGATCCTTTAGGAAAATTTGAGGTTTACAGTGATGTATCTAGAAAGGGTTTAGGATGTGTATTAATGTAAGAAAGAAAAGTTGTAGCTTATGCATCAAGACAATTGAGACCTTATGAGGAAAATTATCCAACTCATGATTTAGAATTGGCTGCAGTAGTTTTTATCCTCAAGATTTGGATATTTGTATGGAGTCAAATTTGAAGTTTTTAGTGATCACAAGAGTTTTAAATATTTGTTTGATTAAAAAGAGTTGAATATGAGGCAAAGAAGATGGATGAAATTTTTGAAAGATTATGATTTTGAACTCAAATACCATCCAGGAAAAGCAAATGCGGTGGCTGATGCCTTAAGCAGAAAATCTCTTCATATGTCACATTTAATGATCAAAGAAATGGAGTTATTAGAAAAATTTCTGGACATGAGATTATCTGTAACTGTGTTGCCTTGAAGTTTAGGTATTAGTGAAATAAGGGTTGAAAATGAGTTAGTAAATAAAGTTAAAGAAGCTCAGTAAGAGGATCTTAGTCTAGAAAAAATGTTGGAACATAAAGGATTTACCAAAGAAGAAGATAGTTTGGTTAAGTTTCAAGGAAGGGTTGTTGTACCTAGAAAGGAGGAATTGATAAAAGAAATTTTAAATGAAGCACATAGTAGTAAATTCACAATTCACCCTGGTTCAACTAAAATGTATCAAGATTTGAAAAAGATATTTTGGTGGCCAGGAATGAAAAAATATATTGTTGAGTATGTTTCAAAGTGCTTAGTTTGTCAAAAGGTAAAAATTGAACATAAAAAATCTTCAGGATTACTTCAATCATTAGACATACCAGAATGGAAGTGGGAAAGTGTAGCAACTGATTTTGTGATGGGTATACCAAGAATCCAGGAGGGGTATGATGCAATTTGGGTAATCATTGATCGATTAACCAAATCTGCTCATTTTCTACCAATTAAGGCTCAATATTCTATTGATAGGTTAGCCTAACTATATATAAAAGAAATTGTCAAACTTCATGGTGTACCTCTAAGTATTGTGTCAGATAGAGACCCTAGATTTACTTCTAGATTTTGGGAATCTTTGCAGCAAGCCTTCAGAACTAAGATAAGACTGAGTACAGGTTACCATCCTCAAACTGATGGTTAAACGAAAAGAACCATTCAAACTTTAGAGGATATGTTGAGAGCATGTATTTTGGAGCAAGGAGGTAGTTGGGATAAATACATGTCATTAATAGAGTTTGCCTATAACAATAGTTACCATTATAGTATTGGAATGGCTCCCTATGAGGCACTTTATGAGAGGAAGTGCAGATCTCCCGTATGTTGGTATGAAAAAGGGGAAAAACAGTTGTTGGGACCAGAATTAGTCCAAGAAACCTCGAGACAAATTTAGATGATAAAAGGGAATCTTGAAAAAGCTCAAAACATACAAAAAAGTTATGCTGATAACAGGCGTAAACCTTTGGCTTTTGAAGAGAAAGAACATGTCTTTCTTAAACTTTCTCTTACAACAGGTGTAGGAATAACTCTTAAAGTTAGGAAATTGAGTCCTAGGTATATTGGTCCATTTCAAATACTCCGAAAAATAGAGCCAGTTGCTTATCAACTTGCTCTTCCACCTCATCTTTCCAATCTCCACAATGTCTTTCATGTTTCTCAGCTTAGAAAATATGTCCCATATCTCTCTCATGTTCTTAATATAGACTTAGTACCAGTTAAGAGAATCTGACTATTAAGACCAGACCAATTCAAATCCTTGATAAAAATATAAAGCAACTGAGAAATAAAGTGATTCCATTAATCAAAGTATCATGGGAAGGACTTTCACCACAAGAAGCGACGTGGGAAAAAGAAGAAGAATTGCGACAAATTTATCCATAATTTTTCTTAACAGGTATGTCGAAATTTTGAGGACAAAATTTTAATTAAAAGAGGAGAAATGTAATACTCAATATATATATATATATATATATATATATATATATATAATATATATATATAAATAATTATAAAAATAATAATAATAATAATAAATAAGTAATTAAATATTAAAATAAATAAATAAAAACAATATAATAAAAATAAAATAATATAACATAGTAGTAAATAAATATTATATATATATATATAAGAAAATATTATAGGTATTCAATAAATAATATTGTTATTTGTATTATAATAATTTAACTAAAAAGTAGATAACAAAAGAAAATATAACATTGTATATATAAGCTATCTATTATATGCAGTAAAAGATTACGTGGTATATAATACAAATATTACTTTATTAGTAATATTATAGTTATCCTTATATACACCATATAAAAAAAAATAACAATAAGGACTAATCTAGAAGAGGCAACATAGAAGATGGGGTAGAAGTAATAAGATTCTTAATGATTGCTTTTGTTAAAGGATAGTTAGATTTGAAAGAAATTTAGTTAATTTGATTAGAATCTAAATATACGTAAAGATGGGCCAAGTCAAAAAGGAGTCAATTTGATTGCCTATATATATGAAGGTGGGGTTGTTAACTGAAGAAGAAAAAAATAGAGTATCAGAAAGGGAAAGACAATAGCGAAAGAGAGAGACCAAGAGAAGAAAAAAGAAAAAGGGAAGAAAGGTAATATTGAGAGATAAAAACTCTCTCATTTTCTCTTCTTTTCACTATTCTTTTGAAAATTTTAATGGTAGTGTTATTCTGCCAAATTCCTTTCTTAAATTTCTTCTCTACTTGTTTTTATTCATATCTTTAGTTTTATTATTAATTAGTCCTAAAATCTTATTTTTTTTAAAAAATAGTTGATTACTGGTTGATGAGTTATTTGGTACCAAATAAATATTAAAAGAACGTGTACTTTTAACTGTAAGATACTGCTGTGAAATGATCCATAAAATTTGGGATCAGACAGTTAAAGGGTAAGGGATGCCTTATTATGGTTTGAACTCCGCCATACAGAACTTTTCACATGCAGGAGATCCACATAAATTGGGTATTTAAATAACTTCAGTTAAATATTATACAGTGTAGTGTTTATTATTATTCTATTGCTGTTTCATTTTTCTTTTAACTGGGGGAATGATATTTTCTGTTACTACAGCTGGAAATGGTTATAGTTAAAAAAAAAAAAAACCTCAATATTACTGAGAATTTTTCTCATGTTTTATTTATGTTGCTAACATTTCCAGAAAATCATAATGCTTAGCCTAAGCTTGTTAGGTGAAGGATGGAATACCAATCTTTACTCTTATGATGATCGCATGAAATTCTATATTGTAGTAGGAAATCAAGGAGCTGCTGCAATATTCTATGCTGAAAGTGTGGAGACCTGCACCTATAGACTAGATTAGGATAAGACCCATGTATTGTATAATTATGTGATGTAAGAATGTAAGATACAAATAAAGTGATGTAATATATAGTAGGATGTAGGACCAGTGTAAAATATTTCCAGTATGTACTTGACTCAATGATATGTATAAAGTGACGTTGGTAGATGTTTGTATAGTTTTCTTTTTAATTTTTTTATCATCAATATAAAAAATTAAAAAGTAATCATGTAATATCCCTTATAAGAGTTAATATTAAGGGATGTTACATATTATACTTACGCTATCAAATCTTTAGATTTTGTGTTGTTGTGGTATACATGTGCTTCTTCCCTGAATACACCTAAACATACATTCACACAAGTTCGCACACTTCTCCACTCAACGCATATGTTAACCAAGTTTTTTTCACATTAATTGGTGCTTTCTCAAGTCAAATAGATTCGTGTTTATCTACATTTTAATTATTTGTTACTTTGTTTAATTTTCATGAGAGCTTTAGCCACTTTTAAGTACGAAAATGACCCATTACAATTGTTTGTGTGATCACGTGCAGTGGGCACAAAGATTAACAATGAACCCCATCGCATCATGATTGGTACTAATAATGAGAATTATAAAAGAGAAGGGTAGCCTAGGAGCATGTGAGATCTACAACTTTCTGAGCGTCACAAATTGCGTTTACATGTGCATCTCTTAGAAGTACCGAGCCCATGTATACAAAAAAAAAAAAAAAAAAAAAGTACCTAGACCACCAATTTGCCACTTTGCTGTAATGTACAAACATTTGAGCATGTCCTAATTAATAAGAGGATAGTCACATTATGTGAGCTATAATAAGTTTGAGAAATGGCAACCTAACTAAATGAAAGAAACAGCAGCAAAATAGAAGGGGCAAATATAGTTATGGCGTGCATTTAACAAACATAATCTTTTTGCACATGAGCCAAGCATCGCATATACACAATATTATTTAATTTCCCGTAGTTCCTTGTTTTCTTATTTGTCTACGAAGACAACTTGCATGTTTGATGTTTCTACACATGGCATGTCTCTGTATATTTTTTTCTTTTCTCTCTCCGACCTTCCCATGATCAACATAAGCGATCTAACGGTGAGATTGACTGAGTGTCACATGGGTGTAACATAACTTGGGTGTCACAATATCTTATCCCTAATTTTATTATCAGTTTTAAAATGTTATACAAAATCTTCATTTTATCTTCTAAAAAAGTTCACAATAAGAGTATAAATAGGTTAGACTGGGCTATATTTTGACTTAAATAAGCTAGGCATCTGTAAAATATTTTAGGTCTGACCTAGTCTGGTTGCTTATATAAGCTCAAATTATAAATCTGTTTTGACTTATATTTAAAAAATTAAAAGACTTGGACTAGGTCTGTTAGCCTGTTTAAGCCTAGTAGACATTCAATAATTAAAAATATAACTAAAATAATATTACTTTTTTATTCAAAATCAATAAAATATTAATTTATTTATTTATTTAAAATAAATAATACGATATTTGCTCGACACGTAATAGAAAGCCTATAACCTGCTTTCTAATCATGCTTTTTTCTGAGACTTGAACCTGTTCTTTTGACTATATATAATAGATCAAATTTGATCTCATGTGAACCCTTTTACACCCTTGGTTAGCAGTAGGGATTCAGAATCAATATTGATAAAGCCAATAGTCATAAAATGGGAAAAAGTATATATAAGAGGTCCATTCACATTAAAAATAACTAAAGTGTGACACATATTAATATGTTAAAAGATTAAGTATATATATGAGCTTATTGTTTCTCAAGTTGTTTAAAATAACTTTATTTTCGGTTACTAAATCATAACTATACAAAGAAAGATCAATAGTGATAAAAGAAGAGAGAGAAAATGAGAATCATAACCATTCAAATGTGAATCAATTGTTATAAGAAAATAAATGAATAAAATGATATAGTTTTGGACTAACCGGAAATAAATATATCTCAAGTAATAACTTGAGAAATATTTTTCCTACACACACAGATATATATATATATATATATATATATATATATATATATATATATATATATATATATATATATATATATACATACATACATGTGCTTCACTTCTCTCATATAGTAGGAGAGAAGTTATTTTATACTATGAAATAAATAAAGTGGATCTCACCAATTTTAAAAAAAGAAAAGACACATCTTTTTATATGAGTATGCAATGAGAGATAAATCTCATATAATACGAGAGTATAATTTTCATATATATATATATATATATATCAGATTAAAAATTAACAAATTTGCATTTGAAAAGGCTGTTAGAGAAAAACTGTAATAAACTTTTTATTGAGTTAATAAAAAAGGCTTTAATCTAGTATTTAGCTCTTGACTTACGAGATAATTGAGTTGCTGCTTGACATTTTTTACACACATAACCAAACACTTTGTTTAAAATCTTTTAATATTTTGGCAACTTTATTTTTCCATGAATTTTTTTAAATATTTTTTATTTCAATAATGACATTATTTTAATATTATTGGAGATAATTTTACGACCGTGTCGTGCCATGCGAATCACTACTAAACTCTTCTAGTTTTTCCAAATATATATATATATATATATATGTGTGTGTATATATGGGATAGGATCAACTTACACCGGTGTAAGAATAATAAATCTTATACCAAATTTTAACCGTTGATTTCCGTGCATCCAACCGTTGGAATTTATTGAGAATTAAAAATTAATTAATGAGTGCGACCTAATGAATCTTAACCGTTAGATGCAGAAAATCAATAGTTAAGATTTGGTGTAAGACTTATTATTCTTACACCGGTGTAAGATGATCCTGCCCCTATATATATATATGAGATTTAATTTCTGCAGCTGCTATACGTTAGCAATTAAATATTTGCCATATATATACTTGAAAACATTAAATGCGAGGAATCATAACCATACAAAAGATGAAAGCATTAAATGTGAGAAATCATAACCATACACATGTCGTTGTTGTACGTAAAGTGGCTGCAGAAATGATTTTACCTATATATATATACATATATATATAAATATATATATATATGGGGACACTTTTTCTGCAGCAGCTGCAGAGAGCTGCTATCTGCAGCTAACACAGAAAAGTGGGCGCCACAGCTTTTCTTAAAAAAAAGAAAAAAAACAGGATCCGGAGCCGTATCCCAAGATCCGGAACCGTATCCTGGCTTGCTGTATGTGCAGCGGCTGCAGAAATGATTTTGTCTATATATATATATATATATATATATATATATATATATACATATATATATATATATATATATACATATATATATATATATATATATATACATGGGGCGGGATATTCTTACACCAGTGTAAGAGTTAGAAGTCTTACACTCAATCTTGACCATTGATCCACTTGTATCCAATGGCTCACATTACTAAAAAATTAGAGTCTTTATATATAAGTGTGATCAACGGACAAGATTAAAAGTGTAACTTACACTGGTGTAAAATGATCCTGACCCTGTGTATATATATATAGAGGTAAGATCCTTTGACACCGATGTTAAATTTGAAATTTGACACCTCATCTGAGAGCCATTAGATAAAAAAAGATCAATGATGTCACATGCTTACAAATGAGAGTCGTTGATTTTTTTTAATCAAACGACTCTCAGATGAAGTGTCAAATTTCAAATTTGACACCGGTGTCAAAGGATCATACCTCATATATATATATATATATATATATATATATATGCGTGGGAAAAACATTTCTCAAGCTGCTTGAGATAAATTTATCTCCGGCCACCCCAAAACTACGTCGTTTTGATTATTTATTTCCTTATATGTATTGATTCACCTTTGAATGGTTATAATTTCCCTTTTCTCTTTCTTCCTTTTTCACCATTGATCCATCTCCGACAGTTTGAGAAATGATAAACCCTGTATATATATATTTTAAGTAGAGTCTGTTTTAGGGGAACTTTTGTTAACGGATTTCACGTTAGAGCGGTTTGAGTTAGAGAGTATAACCAATTAACTATAAATTGATTTAACTCACATGAGTTACCTTATTTTAAAAATATTATTTTAAATTTTTTTTTCTCAATAAATAAAAGACGTAATTTTTAAAAAACAAATTTAAAAAAAGGGTTTTCAATTAGTCAGGTAACAGGACCAATTTTTTTTTTCTACAAAAGAAACGACAAGTTAAATAATGATAAAAAAAATTGAATAAACATTGTATTCAATGATTTTATCTTGTCTGTAGTGATTGCATGACAACAATTTCCTACCTACAACATGATTCTTATTTATTCCTTAAAAAAAATAACACACAACGTTTAAAAATAATAATACTGTTTCTTTTTTGTTCTCGTGTTTTTCAATTCTAAAAGTTATAAAGTTGTGTCGATGAAATTTGTTTGGTTCATTTAATGTTGTAACGGGATGGTCCCATAAAGCGAGGCGCCATATTCAAATTCCCACCACCTAATCCTTACTTTACTGTCTACGCTGAAAACAAAAGCAATGCGATACAGTGGAAATGACTCGTTGATTGGGGAAGGGATACCCTGAGGGTGGTCCTAAATTTCAAACCAAATGTCAATGCTTTTTTCAACCTTTGCTGGTGAAATGGCTTGTCACCACCAACTTTTCCCTCCAACTCCAACGCACTCGCATAACTTCAGCTTCCGCGATTTGTTCTAGATATGGTCCTAGAACAGCAAGGTATCATACCAGTGATAATTTATTATAGGGTTTATTTATTGTCTATCAGATATAAGAAATAAATTTATTTTTTACACGTATAAGAATATGTAAAATTTATATTTTTCTTTTTTTTTTTATTTTATGAACTCACATTAATCTCACATATTTTTATAAATATGTAAAAAATAAAATTTATCTCCTATAACATCCTTTATTATAATTAGATTTTGAATTTTGTGGGAATGATGTTTTAAACTGATTATAATTTGTGGCGTTCTTTTTTATTGCATGTGTTGGTATTGACAAGAGGGTATAGTGGTATACAGCAAAATCTAATAACTAATACGGGGTTAGCTACAAACTCTGGTGTAGATTCTTTGACTTGTTTCATTAGATCAGTAGCAATTAACTATTTAACTAAGCATCTCTTAACAACCAATTACAAGTGCAGGTGAATAAACTTATATGATAAAAGAAAAAAAAAAAAAAAAACCTTTGACTTTGCACACACACAGACGCATAGATATTAGATAGTGCCAGAGACAACAGTACCTACCTACCCATCAATCATACAAGCACACACGTAGGATAAGAGAAATATGAATCCACATCCCATGCTTATAATATCTTTAGTCCTTAACATCAAATCGTGTCTTGAGCCTCCTGACCTTATTATCAGTGCTTCCATTCTCTACAGTTTCTTTCCTTTTCTTTGCCATCTTCTTCTGTCTCGTCAGAAGAAGAGGGTCCCTCACTATTGGCTTCACTGGTTTGGCTGCTTTCTTTGGCCTTGATTCTCGAATTCTGGGTGCTTCCATCTCTCTTGGCTTCCTCATCAAACATTTTGAGAGGTGTTGTTTCAGCCTCACCCTTCAAGTTTGACTTTGAATTGTAGTCTTTTGTTTTGTACTTGTACCAAGAGGCCCAATAAAGGAAGTTAAAAAAGTTAAGGCAGCTCAGGATTGCTAAGAACCAAAAGAACAAGTTCAGGTTGTTTTGATTCAAATCGAACCCGTGCAACCATCCTTGTTTGCTTGGAGTGATCCTTTTGGTAACAGTATTAATGACATTGACAAAGACTGTACTCATGAAGTAACCAAGAGACATGGATAACCATGTGAAAGAAGTTGACAGTGATTTCATGGTTGCAGGTGCTTCTCTGTAAAAGAATTCTAGGAGTCCTACAGCTGTAAACATATCTGCAATTCCAAATATAGCAAATTGGAAGGATAGCCAAAATAGACTTATGGGCTTTGATGGGTCCTTTCTTCCTTGGTCCCTTCTTTTTACTTCTACAAACCCAGCTATTGTCATTGAAATGGAGGAAAGTACCAGCCCCATACCAACTCGTTGAAGTTGTGTAACACCTGAAGGGTGGTGAGTGATCTTTCGTGCAAATGGCACAAAGAAGAATTCATAAATGGGAATCAGGATGCACAAGAAGAGAAGGGGGATAACAGGAATGGATGCTGCAGGCACTGTAAAAGAACCAAGTTTTAGGTTCATTACATTCCCTTGCTGGACTGAGAATGTTTGAAGCTGAGCTAGACAAGTGTTCATTATAATTGTACTGGCTATAATGGGTAACATTCTGGTAAGGATCTTCACTTCTTCAACTTGTGTCACTGTGCAGACCTTCCAAGGCTGGGGTTCAAAGTTTTCTTGAAGAATGGTTGCTTTATCTAGAAACCTGATTCAACAAAACATAGCATTTTAACATACCTGTACTAGTATAAATGGGGGAAAAAAATAAAGAGGAGGGAATAAATGTCCTTCCAGACCCAATATTGTCATCAATTATATTTCAATTATTGTGCATGAGTAGTTAATTGGCTTTTGAAGTTGATTCCAGCAACTCCACACACACAAACACCCAAGAAAGGAAAAAAGAAATCATTGAGCTTGGCTGCATAGCTGCTATTCAAAAGGAAACTGTTTCTCATTTTCATTCAGTAAACCAACAAAAAAAGAAAAAGAGTTTGATTGCCCCCGGTACTTCTACACAAAAACTTTTTCTCTGCGTTTTTGTCAGGAAACTTTTTTCCCCCCCTTTTGTTTTGCTGTTTACAAATGGTGTAGATATATTTTTCATGATCATTCTCTGTATCTCTCTGCTGCTCCAAACGTGCAAGACTGATAGTAGGCCCAGAATCCTTGGCAATACATACTACGTCGTAAACGAAGAAAAAGAATCTTAACAAGACAATGTGCTGGACCATTTATTTCTTAATTGTCCTATCATTTGCAGAACATTTATTATCCTTGATTAGTTATAGCAATTATTCAAGTTGTCAGGCATGGATTTTGAGGATGGAGAAGGAGAGTCACCTCATCTGGTTGGTGTGTGCAATCTTCTCTACTACTGTAGCATCTTTATAGACCTCATAAAGCTCTTCACGAGACTCTGGCAGTGGTAGCTTTCGGTTTTTAAAAGCCACAACAATAACCTGTAGTGAACAAAAATAGCTTCTTGCTCAATATAGATGGTATGTGCTTATTAAATGAGGGAAACCAATTAGAGATTACAAACCTGAGCAATTCTTAAAATGGGGCTTTCACCAGGAGTTTTGATGCGGTAAAATGGCTTACCAAGAGCAAGGATCACAAAGCCAATGGAGGAAGCTATAGTTATTATGAAAAAGCCCCAGTGCCAAGCTCTTTGGGTGCTAACCCACACAACACCCGTAACCCCTATAATTGATCCCAAGGTTGTACTGAGCAAAAGCCAATTAAAAAAGGTTGCAAGAGCTTTTGCTTCAATTGGATCCTTTTCATCAAATTGGTCAGCACCCAATGCAGTCATCGATCCTCTGACTCCACCCATACCCAATGCATACAAACACAATGATGTGTAAAACATTACAGCTACACCACCTTTGACACAGCTTGACTTGCCACAAGCATCTGGGTGTAAATGGTCTAAAGCAGCTTGAACCGTGAGAAGCACCAAAGCCTGCAGGTTTTAAATCAGAAACAAACTTAACCTTTTTGAACCAATTGGTTTTCTCTATTTGGGGTTGGCCATTGGGATTTGGGAATTTTATTTTTATTTTTTTTCAAATAAATATTATTGTTTACCACTTACTTACCATAACTTCGAGTGATCCAAAAAGCAAGCATGTGGTTAATCTGTTCAAGTAAGTATCTGAGATGAAACCACCAACAAGGGAGAGCAAGAAAGTTGAACCCATAAAGTTTGTCAGTGTGTTGGCAGAGCTGGACAGATCAAAGCGCATCACCCCATAAAAGTATAGGACTAAGCTCACCATGTTTGCCACGAATCCCATGTTGTCCAATGCTGACAAGACTGCGTGAAGAAGGAAGAAAAGATCAAGATAGTTTGGTAGCTAAGCACACAGAACAAATACAAAGTGTGTTTGCTTCAAGACTAATGCTTACCAAAAATAAACATGCAAGCCCTGAATCCACCTTTTTGTTTCTTCCATTGGATGATGGGTTTGAGTTCTTCTTTTACCTCTTTGTCTCCCTGTATGACCAGATTTGAAACTCATCAACTACATCCTGAGAGAGAGAGAGAGAGAGAGAGAGAGAGAGAGAGAGGAGATAGAGAATGATGTGTTGAATGATTAGGCTTACCATTCTCGAGATATGGAGAGTTTTCAGACAAGAAGGGGTTATACGGTGAACATATAACCCAAATTGGAAGCTTTCGATGGGAAAGACAGTAGCTTTGAGCATAAAACGCAAAAGGGGGTTCCTTAGTTTAATGCCTTAAACTGTTTGCTTCTGTTCTTCAGTAATTGTCTTCGGTGCTATTTATCATGCTCTCTCTCTCCTTTTTCTTGGTCTCTGTGCTCACCAGTTCAGCGGTTTCAAACACCCAAACAGAAACAACATTATGGGTTATATTATTGACAATGGCATCACAATTTGAAATGGAAGCAGGGGAGGTTTAAGGTTGCTAATTATGGATGCTGAATCAATCAATGATCTTAATCAACCCAACATATATGCCCCACTCCATTTGATTTATATGCTTGTCCTCGCCGAACAATCCATTTGTGGCGTTGTATCATTATTTATAAACTAGAAGCTTTCAGTAAAGCTTACGGGTCAAATTGGAAGGAAGAGTCTACTTACAGAAATTGGGAAGACTTTTCCCTCCTTGATACATAGCATAGCATGTGATCAAGTGGATATATTACACATATCAAATTCCCAAATAATTTGCTCTTAATTGTGTCATAAGAATACATAATGAAGACCTTGAATAGTTGGTATTCAATTAATTGCTTGTACGAACTCCTGTTATTAGTTAGTTAAATATGTAAACAACCTTGTGTCAAAGTTTAGATTATTAAATTTTTAGGATATTGAGGAGTGCGATGAGGTTGAAACTTGTCCCTTCCCTAACAATTTGCCCTTAATTGTGTCATAAAAATAACCTTATGATAAGGCCATAATGAAGACTTTGAATAGCTGGTCATCAATCAAGTGCTTGTGTAAACTCGTGTTATTGTCAGTTAAATATAGAAACAACCTTGTGTCAAAGTTTAGATTATTAAATTTTAATGATACTGAGAAGTGGAATGAGGTTGAAACTTGTCCCTGGTTAGGCACTAGACAACATTGTCAGACGGAAAAGGATCCTATATTTTCCTTGCAATGGGAAAAACCAAAAGTACCCCCAGAATTTCTTTTCGTGACGAAGGCAACTAATAAAGCTACGCATTTCGCCAAAACCATGATGAGGCAGGGGTGGAGTTAGAATTTTTTTTATTATTAATGTTATGTGTATCCTTCTATAACCGAAGATTAATTTTCATCCAGTATTGTAGGACTTTTTTGGGACGACTTTTTCAAATTCTTTTTTCCATTAGCAGAACTCGAACTCAAGATCTCTAATTAAGGGACGAAGTTCCTCACCACTTGTGTGATGAATTAGAAAATTTCAGTTGGGTGGCGAAAGAGGAAAAAAGCATGACCTTTGGAGCCCTATTGCTAGATAAACCCTCTTATCATCTCATAGAAATTCAGTTTCGCCTTTTTCTTTGACCTTGTGGTCTAAAATCCGTCTCATTTGTACGGTCTCTTTCGAAATAGCAGTTTAAATACTAATATCCCTCAATCAAGCTAAATCTTTTTCTGTTTGAAAATCACTATCAACTGAAAACTCTTTTTTTTGGTATGTTATCCCATCCTCTTTTATTGGTGTCTGTGAAGCAAAGATGTGTGTTCTTTTCACCCCTCTATATTTCAACTTTCAAGTGAGTCACTTTGAAAGCTTGGGCAGCAAAAACTATAGTACCTTAGCTCTAAGGCAGTATGTGACAAGTTATCACATGTTGTAGTTTAATTAGTACTAGCTAATTGTTGCTGAGAAACAAGAAGACCAGTAATTCTGGGCTTGTTTGAGTACTAATTTTAAAAATAATTTTTTGATTTTCAGAAAAAAAAATATATTTGATAAAGTCTGTTTGGTAAAAATAATTATAAAAAAAAAATTAAATCATTTTTAGTGAAAATGTTTAAATTGTTTTTGTTTTATATTTTGATTTTTAACTTTCAAAACAGAAAAAAGACAGAAAACACATATTTCATTAATTATTTAACAAAATAATTTTAAGAATAAGGGGGCGTTTGGTTCAAAAGAAATTTTTTGAATACTAGGAAACTGTAATTACTAGGGAAATGGTTGGAAAGTGAGTTTGGTAGGAAAATGTAAAAAAAGTTGTTTGGTTAACCGAAATATTACCAGGGAAATTTATTTCAATTTGCAAAATCTATGTTCGAGAAAAACTTCGCACCTGTTTTCTCACTTCCCCAGTTATCTCAAAATACCACATCTCAAGTGGTATTCTGTAACAGTGAATTTCATCCAAAAATCAATACAAAAGTCATTTCCCCATCTATCCTATTTGTCTAGTATTTTTTTCAAAAACCTGAACCAAACGTGATATTTTCCAATATTCACCTACACTTTACCATCAATCTCAAAATAAATCTTCTACCAAACACTACCTAAAAAACTCAATAATACAATCAATCACACCTCCTATATCTGTATTGAAGTTTCTGCATGTGATAAAGAAATTGCTCTGTAGCTGTCATGTACTATGTAACCCAGGATAATTCCAAGTTTAAACTTCAGAAGCCTGCAATTGTACTCCAACCTGTATGGAACTATAAGCCTAAGTGCCAGCAAACTCTGAGATTAAACTTCACAAGCCAGTTATTGTTGCTCACATTCCACATCTAAAAAGCATAGGTAGGATCAGGTGTAGTCAGAAACAGATTCTCTTTTTTGAACTAATTATTATCTTAGCTAACATATAAAAGAAAAGGGAAATGTAATTCTCATGTATGAGACAAATTGTCTCATACAAAACACACAAAAGTGAATGAGACCTATTAAAAAAAGAGAAAAGTGTGTTGCATGAGATAATTTATCTCATGCAATATGAGAAAAACATATCTCATAAAAGAATTGTAGTCAGAAAATTATTAGCTACAATAAAATCAATAGCCAGTTAGCCACTAGGTCCACTACCAAGAGAAGTTAGTAAAGCCGTTGAATCTTTGGGTCCTAACCTATCAATTTGAGTCTCTATCATACATACAACCTTTTGCGTGTGGGCGGTTTTCTATGAATGAATAAACTTTCATAAAGGCTATAGATGTTTCTCTATCTCAAAGACACAACGTTATGGTCCTTAATTCATAAATGTTCTTTTTCATAAAGCTTGATATATTATCCCCACTTTCCATGCTGTATGCTTTTCAATGACACCCATTCTATATCACTTTTCACACAAATTTGTCCATGCTTTTCTAAAGTAACATCTTTTGGCTTTCTCTCTGTTTTCTTTTTCCTTCTACGATTTCATACTTCTAGCTAGGCATACAGCGTGTACCAGTTGTTTTCAACCTTGGCAATTCTACTATTGTTGTTTCTTGTTGCCCACGGCATCGTATTTTTTTTTTCTGATGATGCTGTGAGTTTATGGCAGAATATGTCATTTCTGCATATGCGTGTGACAGTGAATCAAGAATTAAGATAAAATTTTGCAAAATGTGACAAATAAATGGAAACGTGTAAATTAAAACGTTGACAGAAAATGAAACTCACCTCAACTAATCTTTCAAGTATAGCAATAGTAGCTGTCATTTGGTGTCTACTGTGTGCGTGTTGCTTCAAGCTTATCATTAACTTCGTCTTTTCGTTTCGTTTGTTAAATTCTCTAGGCGGAAATGAAGGGACCGTGACCTTTCTTGGTTCGTGTTATTGTTAACTGTATAAACTGGCTAGTTACTACCTAAGTCTAAAATATAACTAACATGACTGCATAATTATTGTTTGGGTAAAGTATTTGTCATTTTAAAGGACTTAAAGTTATATCATTTTAATTGAGAAAAAAAGAAAAATTATGAAGAAGAGAGTATGAACAAAATAAAAATAAAAATGTGGATTCTATCTTTTTACGAGAATAAAATAACATAAGTTGGATCATTTAAAAAAAAAAACAGCTACCAAAAAAAATTAGGGCGAAGGAGCTTGACGGTGGCATGTGGATTGTAGAGATAGTTTGGAAAGAGGAATGCTTAGTTAAGCGGCGTATAAGGTGGACCATCAACTCATTGCCGTTAGATATAATATTATAATATATTTTTAATAGATGGCTGAGATTTGTCGTGAGGATTTTTAATATATTTTGTTTTAAGGATTATACTCTTATCTGATATCATAATAATTAGGAAATGAAGGGTCATTAATTTGCCATAGTTTTCTTTTCATGATTCTTTCCTCCACAACAACAGTTGATAGATTCACTATTCATCTTAAAAGATGATTGTGAAGAGGCTATTCATAACTTGTCAGTTGTCACTTCTGAACAAAAGTTTCCAAGGATGGTGAATAAACTTTACAGTGACCAAAATGACTATCTCTGTTAAGATGTCAAACTCTGATGCACATAAAATATATTGGATTGATGATATATACCTAACGCGTACACTTGTATCTCTAAGAATATTGAGGTTTATTATTGTCAAATTAAATGATTTTGTGTCATGCATCAATTGAACGCATTTCAATTTGAACTTGAATATCATTTTTTCTCTCAATAAATTTGGCGAAGAGTAAAGAATCTCAAAACAAAATTCTAAAGGAATTGTTATGAAATTTAGTTTTATGAAATTAAAATAGATTCGTAACAGTGTTGAATTCGAGTTGAATTGGGTGGTGCTATGTATGGTTAGTAAAAACATGTAAAGGGCTAAAAATAAATATTAAAAACTGGGGAAACATGCTATATATAATGCAGTCAGATCTTGGTGGTATACATGATAAAAGCCACCTGGCGGGTAAAGGTAGAAAGTGGGGATGGTGTGATCCACTAAACCAGCTGTTTTAGTAAATGGGAATTTTAATTAAGGCATACATAAAACATATATAATAATATACTGCAGTGAAGTCATAGGGCCATATTGTGAAATAAAGAGTTTTCAGTATCATTAACATTCGATGCCAAGTCATATAAAAGACTAGCTCATATTAATTTGTATAAGGGAATATCTCGTAAGAAACAATGTATATTTTACCTTTTTTTGGCTCTCAGTTTTTTATTTTTTAATTAATTCTATTAACACATAAAAATATACAGGCAAAGTTTGAATTGTTTCATTCCACGAGCCCTTATCGCGATATTCGAAAGAAAACACTTTTTTCTTTTATTGTGGAAAAAAGGGGCTGAGCCCCACAAAACAAAAGAAACTAAAATTAAATCATACTAGATAAACAAAAATACTTCTTTTACACTTTATTTGAAAAATGAACCGAATCTATTAGTGTGTGAATAACAATCTTGTTGGAATTAGTTTTTTTTTTTTTTTATCAATTTTTGTTCCCAGATATAAAAATAGATAGAAATAGTATTTGCCAAACTGATTTATTTTTTCTTACCGAAAATGAATCGGTTCAATTTTTGTTCTGCAAAACATAAAAGAGAATATTTTTAATTTTTTCGATCATAAAATTAGAAACATTTATCTCTCTCAATCACTATCCATCACTACCACCACCACCACAACCACCATCCCGACATGACCACCGTTACAATCGTCTGCTATCGTCGTACCACCTCCATCACGATATCACCGCCACCATCACCACTACCTCCATGCCACAGCTACCATCATCTGAGGCGGATCCAGGTACATGAGAAGGGGGCAAGTGCCCACCCTTAAAATATGATGTAAAATACAAAAATACCCTTCTTTTAAAATTCAAGTTTTTCCAATTTAATTTCGGGGTAAGATATTATAACTACCAATTAGGGTTACTACCTATATTACTATTAATCAATTTCATCATTAGATCGATTATGTTGATCCAACGGTTATATGTATTTTCATCTTTATATGGTTATGATTATCCATATTCAATACTTTATATTTATTTTCACCTTTGTATATGTAATATTCAAAAAAAATAAAATAATAATAATAATAATAATAAAAAATTGACGCCATTAGCGCCAACATTGGCGCTAATCGCGCCAATTGTGGTGCCAAATAAAAAAAATAAAAAAAGAAAGCGACGCCAGTAGCGTCAAAATGGCGCCTTTTGCTCCAAAGTGGGGCCTAATAGTGGTGTCGTTCGCGTCAATTTTTACGCGAAGAGCGTGAACGTATATATATATATATATATATATATATATATATGTTTACGTATATGTAAAATAATAATAATGATGATGATAATAATATTAATAAAAAAAAATAAGTAATTAAAAATTTAGATAAATGTACGTAATATATAATATATTAATAATAAAATAAATAATACTAATAATAATATAATAATTGATAAAAATAAGAATATGTATAAATATATTGCAGAAAGTAAATAAAACTTATGTAAACGTGGAGGCACCTGAGGACGGTTTACGAGAATCTTTCTAGAAACGTAATACGTGGTTAGTTATCTGAATAGTAATGATTACTTAATTACTAGTTACGTTCGAATCTAACGACATGTAACCATAAGCAAATTTCTTTCTTTATATATGTATATATATACATCGCTGTGCATAAGAAGAAAGAGAGAACAGTGAGAAGAAAGAAAAGAGAGAGAGAGAGATCAGTAAGAAGTGAAAGAGAGAGAGAAAGAGAAATCAACAAAAAATGAAAAGGAGAAAAGCGACGAAACAGAAGGTAATATTGGGGGGATTAAAAACACTCTCTCGTGTTTTTCGTTTGTTTAATCATTTTGCGAAAACGATGTTTAACTTTAATACCTCTGTCATCTTACCAAACTCTTTTCTTTATATATTCTTCTGGTTGAGTTTATTCTTTGATGTTATTCTTTTGTAGTATATTGGTTTTCTTTAAAATTTTATTTCTTTTCAATATTCCTTGAATTTGTTTACAGTAGTTAGTTTTTACTTAATTCTATTACGGTTTATTTATATTCTTTTAAATTGGTTTCTGATTTCTAACTGGGTCGTTATTTGGTACTAAATAATTATGAAGAGAATGTGTATATTTAACTGATGAAGACTGCTATGAACTGAACCACAGAGTTTGAGTTCAGACGATTACAGTGTAAGGGACGCCTTATCGTGGTTTGAGCTCCTCCACAATAAATATTTCATATGCAGAAGACCACAAAGTTAGAAACTTATTTAGCTTCGGTTAAATATTACACAATGTATTATTTATTATACTATTTCATTCTATTAAATTATCTGAGAGAATGGTATTTTCCGTTATTACGGCTGGAAATAGTTATAGTTATAAAACCTCAATATTACTCAGATTTATCTCACGTGTGTTTGTTTTTATGCTAACATTTCCAGATTATCATAATGCCTAGTCTAAGCTTAACAAGAGAAGGATGAAGTATCAATATTTACTCTTACGAGGACCGCATGGAGTTTTATATTGTAGTAGGAAATCAAGGAGCGACTTCAATATTCTATGCTGAGAGTGTGGAGACCTACACATATAGACTAGATTAGGATAAGACTTTTGTATTATTATGTGATGACGGTATGTAAAATATAAACTGAAGTGATATAATATTTAGTCTGAAGTGATGTAATATTTAATAGACCGTAGGACCCATGTAAAATAACTTCATTTTGTATCTAACTTAACATTATCTATAAAGTAATGTTGGTATATGTTTATATACTTTTCTTTATTGTTATTATCATCAATATATATTAATTAAATACCATTATCTTCTTTCCATCTTATTTCTCATTGACGTTGCATAAAGCGAAAACATATATATAAGAAAACATGTAATATTCCTTATAAACGTTAATATAAAGGGATGTTACATAATAGTTATGATTTCTCATATTTAATGTTTTTACGTTAAATATGGGGATCATAACTATATAAAGATGAAAATAAATATAACCGTTGGATCCACATAATCGATCAATGGTGAAATTGATTGGTAGTAACCTAGTTGGGTTGTTACGATATCCTACCCCTTTAATTTTCCTCCTTCTATTTTATTTTCATGTGATTTTTTTTTCTCACCTTCATTATCCAAACCTAACATCATATAGCTCTATTCCAGACCCATCATTTGCATCTACATACTGATTTAACTCCTCTCAAACCTCAATCTCCGTTATTGGAAGTTGGAACATTTGCTTCTTCCTCTATCATCGGTCTAGTTGAGTCGTAATCCGTCTAGATTTAGATTTAAACCAGACCCAGCTAGCCGACAGCTACTCGCAAGCATTCCGGACCAGACCTAGATTTATATGTACTTGAACTTATTGAGTGCCCACCCTTCATTAATTTTCGGGATCCGCCATTGACCATCATGCCACCACCACCACCACCACTACCATCACCGTCACCACTACCATCGTCGCAGTCACTGCCGTAACCACCACTACCATCACTGTGCCACCATTATCACTACTGCTATTACCACCACCATCACCGAAGCCATTGCCCTCAACACCACCACCGTGTCATCACCATCATCGCTGGCACCACCACTACTACCATGCCATTACCACCACCACTACCACCACCATCATATGAAAAGAAAAGTGATGATCCGAAAAATTCTTATGCTTAATAGGAATAATTTTTTATTTCTTGTGTTATCAGACACAATTCTCATTCTCAGAATAAAAATAGAACATATTATCAAACACATTTTTTGTCCTCATAAACCATTCCAAGGCACATAAATGTAAATGAATTGTTTATTTTCAGAAACAGTGCCAGAAAATAGAATGATTATTATGCACACCCTTAAATTAACTCGATAAGATATGTGAGTTAGGCACACAAAATTTAAATTCAAAATTTTCTAACCGAACTTAAACTTTCACAAATTGACATACTTCATAGATCAGCGCTCTAACGTTAATTTTATTTTATTTTTCACGTATAACTTATCACCTAAACAACATTTCATCATTTTTTATTTTAAGTATTGAAGCCAAATTAGCAGATGGAATAGTTCTATACTATAATTTATATGTCATTAGTCTAAAATTATGTTACTCAAATTTCTGAATTTTTATAGAAATATTTTTTTCCAAAATTAAATTTAATGACTTTTCTAAAGAATTATTGGGCTAATAGACCAACCCATCCAATCAAAAGCCCTAAGCTTAAAATATAATGGGGACTATTTAGAATAATGCCGATTTTAAAAAAAAAATTGTTGACGTTCGTGTGGTTTAATAATACACTGATTATTTTTATTAAATTAACTTAATTAATTGAATATAAAATTGAATTAAATATTTTTATTTTTGTTTAACCATCTACTCGGCTATTCCTTGGGCATGGATTTCTAATACAATTTTTCAGAAGTCTTGAAATAAATTTTATTGTTTTAAATTTATAATCCTTATAACATTAAAAGTATTTTTTTCTTATGTTGGTTCTTATGTATTATACTCTAGTCGTTATTATTTTTTTAAACTACAACATCTGAATTAAAGCACTAATTAAGCATAATACATAAGAAAATAATTGCCGCCCATGTGATCCTATTTGCCTTGAATTAGACTAATTAAGTAATCAACAAATTGATGAATAATATATGGAAAAAAACATCTAATGTAATTTTAGATAATTTTGTCTAATGTTCACCGAAGACGTCGTTTTGGAGTTAAAAAATTTAAAAATTAGAATGATAAAGACTATTATAACCCTGAATTAAATTAAAATTATAAATACACTATGATTTTCGCTCCAAAACAACTTCGTTTCTGAGAACATTAGACAAAGAGTTCTAAAATAACTTAAAAAAAATGAACATTTTTTAATAACTTTATAAAAAAAAAAAACTAATGTACACATAATTTAGCCCAAATGCATTTTGCAGTTAAAACCGTAACTTTTTAAGTATCAATCAATACAAGGTACAAAAATAAGTTAAAAAAAGTTTAATTTTTTTGTATTAAATACATTTTAAATTTCTTTTTAAAGTGTAATTAATATTTCACCCCATTTGTTAAAGTATAATAATATTAATATTGTAACAGAAAAGCTTGAAAAACAATAATATTATTTCTCAATTCAAATGAGACTTGGGCTAACATCCGTAGGTCATTTTTCATGGGCTGTTAGATGTAGAATGGGCTGACATTTGGGCTTGGTACGAAAATTCCCTTAACGAGGGAGTGCGCGGGAAGCTAGTGGTTTTCACGTTCCTAATTCTTCTTCTGCTGCTGTCATCACAGTTATCCATTTCATTTCCTCTCCAAATTCCTGTTTCCTCACACAAACAAAATGGGTATTAAGGTGTTCAACTTTTCATCATCCCATCTCTCTGTTTTTGTTTCTATTTATTATTATTATTATTATTAATTTTGTTAATGCGGATTAATTTCTAGGGTTTAACAAAGCTTTTGGCTGACAATGCCCCAAAATCCATGAAGGAGAACAAATTTGAGAGCTACTTTGGCCGCAAGATCGCCATTGATGCTAGCATGAGCATTTACCAGTTCCTTGTCAGTAGTACTCTCGAGAAACATGGCTTAGTTTCAACCATGATACTGATACAGTAAAGTTATCTTAACATTACATGCTATGTGTCTTTGATTTTGGTGTAGATTGTCGTGGGAAGAAGTGGAACTGAAACGCTCACTAATGAAGCTGGTGAAGTTACTAGGTACGTGATGATATCTTCGTGGTTTTCAATTAGATAAGCTTAATTTTGATTTTGTTGTTTTGTTTTAGTTTCTTCGTTCTTTATAATAATGTGTTTTAGTACGTGTGATGATGGCGTTGGTTTTGTATCTTATAGTCATTTGCAAGGGATGTTTACGCGGACAATCAGACTTTTAGAAGCCGGGATGAAACCAATGTAATTTTTTTTTTTTTAATTTATTTGTTCTTTCCATCATTGGAACCCTCTGAGAATGAGTTTTTCTGTATAATGTGTGTCCTTGCTGATATTTTTTCAAGCTTATATCCAGATATGTTTTTGATGGGAAGCCACCAGATTTGAAGAAACAAGAGCTGGCAAAACGGTATTTTGTGTTGATTTTCTGTTATTCCTAGAGAGTTCTAACTTTTTTCTGGGTGGGGGTTGGGAATTGGGATGTTCTAATGGAGAATTGTTACTTATCAAAAGTTCCTTAATAATGCTTTTCACTCTAAAACTGTTTTTTATAGTTTTTCGAAGAGAGTGGATGCTACTGATGATTTGTCAGAAGCAATAGAGGTATATGCCTAGTTTGTTGACTTTCATCTATGGTTCCTTTTGTGCGTATAATTTCTTGTATTAAATCAAAGTATTAATGTCCGGACTGCTTTCTCTTGTCATTTTAGGCTGACAATAAGGAAGACATTGAAAAATTCAGTAAACGGACTGTGAAGGCGAGTCCTTGTTTCTTAGGCACATTTATTTGAGAGGTTTTGCTTATTATGGATAGAAACATGGTTTCTGGTGCATGCTGTTGAAGCCATATCCATATACTCTTGCAGGTGACAAAGCAGCATAATGAAGACTGCAAAAGACTTTTAAGACTCATGGGAGTTCCTGTCGTTGAGGTGACATTGCACTACTCAAGTATTTAGTGTATTATGTGTTTACCGTCTGTTTAAGGCTTTGGATTCCACAGGCACCCTCAGAAGCAGAGGCTCAGTGTGCTGCTATTTGCAAAGCTGGAAAGGCAAGTTCATATCTGCTGTGTGTCACCTTGCTTTGTGAGCAGGCTTCTTGAAAACTAATATGAAAAGATTATTACCAATCCTTTTTAAATAGACTTCATGGAAACAAAAAGAAAATTAAATATTGTTTTATATTTCTACTGTTCTTTTTTTATAAAATCTATTTAAATTTCAGATATGTTCTTCCTTTCATATTTTTTTCCTCTTGACAATGCTAATTCTTGTTATTCCTTCATATCAATTTTCAATTCATTCCTTCAAATTTACTGGCAACATTTCCTTTAATGTAAACTTTATTTGGAATTTATTTTGAACATCTTATGTATTATAGGCGTATGCTGTGGCTTCTGAAGACATGGATTCCTTAACATTTGGAGCTCCTAAATTTCTTCGTCATCTAATGGATCCTAGCTCGAAGAAAATTCCAGTGATGGAATTTGAAGTTGCAAAGGTCCTTATTTATAGCTATCAACATATATGGTTTTTTACTGTTTGATCTGCTCATTTTGATATTTTTCATGTTTCAGATTTTGGAGGAGCTAAATCTGACCATGGACCAATTTATTGACTTATGCATTCTTTCTGGGTGTGATTATTGTGAAAGCATTCGAGGTATTTTTTGTCTCATTTTTAATCATATAATGTTAGGTCCAAGTTCAGTTTTATGATTTCTATATGAGCTAAATATGAATATGTACAAAATTTAAATGATAAATGATGTGTGCCTCAGGGATTGGGGGACAGACAGCTTTGAAGCTCATACGCCAACATGGCTCTATTGAAAATATACTGGAGAACATAAACAAAGAGAGGTTTTTCTTATTTTTCCATTTTTAAAATCACATTTCCAGTGTATGCAAGTTAGGATTTATTAGTCACATGATGATATCTTGACAAATAAGGGTTACTTGTTTCTCTTTGTTATGTTTACACCGCATTATCAATCAGACATCTGGCTCAGATATTTGAGCCCTTCTAAGTTTTATGATGAACTGCCAATACTTGCATTTGTAATGTGTTATATCATGGTTAGATTTTATTTTCACATCAATTATTTTAATTGAGCCTTAAGCATTTGGCTACTTAATGTAGTGATTAATATCAGATCAGTGCTGTCTATTGTTACTAGATCTTAGTGTAGCATACAAACTCAATTATGCTATCTAAATGCTCCTTCTTTAGAACACAAGGTTCATGATATTAACTTATGATGTTGATCTTTCTTCCTTGGTAATACCTTACAGCGAGTGCATTGATTCAGGTACCAGATACCAGATGACTGGCCTTATCAGGAGGCTCGGCAGCTTTTTAAAGATCCGGCAGTCTTAACTAAAGAAGAGGAACTTAATCTTAAATGGTCTGCACCAGATGAAGAAGTAATAACTATTCTGCTTGAGACCTATAAATATGCTTTCAAATGCACATGGATTCACATACTGAAATACATATCTTTCTTCTGTCAATATATTGAGTTCTTGTGCAAGATAACTAGGTTTCATTATGTTGCCTTTCTTTCAGGGGCTAATAACGTTTTTAGTAAATGAGAATGGGTTCAACAGTGATAGGGTGACAAAGGTATGTCGATCTGAATAGTATAATTATGGACTGTTTGAGTAGGGTTTCAATGGTCTTTCATTACTTCTTCAGAAAACATTTTTGTTATGATTTCTATATCAATGTTAGGCAATAGAAAAAATTAAAGCGGCAAAGAACAAGTCATCACAAGGCCGGTAAGCAATTCTTAACTTATTGGACATGAGTGTTAAACCTTTCTCTTTCCTTGTCCTACCTAACTTCTCTCTTCTTCTTGAAAACAATAGATTGGAATCTTTTTTTAAGCCAACAGTGAATCCATCTGTACCTATCAAACGGAAGGTATGCATACACTGTCTATAGTCTCCACTATTTGTTAACATCCAGAATTATTTGAAGAAAGCTTGGCAAGTCCTTCCAGAGAACATTTTTGGTCCGACTTTGGGCCAGCTGTGATTCAGTTTTTCTGTTTTTCTTTTCTTTCTATTTATCTGCCTGAAACCAAATCGTGAATTATTGTTTCCTTGCATTATTTTCATCCTCTTCTGATGTCGTATGGATGAATGAAAACGTCTTCCATTACATGATAGACATTAAATTAAATTGTGCTGAAAAATCAAATATTACTTTTTGAAGTCCAATACGGGAGGTTTTATTTTTTATGATTGGATTTCTTCTCAAGATGCGATGGTTATTGTTGGATACAGAATAAAGTAATTGAACACCCTGATTTGTGTTGCAAATTTGCAATCAATATCTTTATCCTTTCATTTCCTTTGCTAGTTGTGTATTTGGAACTTTTCAGCCCTCCATTTTTTGTACCCGTATTTTTTTAATAAGTAACAATGGGATGCCTTTCCTTCCACATGTGAGAAAAAAATTGAAGTACCAGAAATAGGAATTTTTTTTCCATATTTACTAGAAATCTTGAAGCTGATATGCCAGCATAATTTTGGCTACACTTAAATGACAGGAAAGCAAATGCATTCTTAGATCTTTCAAACCAGCAATTGAGCATAAGATTTTCTCTCTGCAACTTTCTAACTGGTCAAGGCCCATGGTTTTTGGCAAGTTGAGCTTGCCGATATATAATGTGGGTTCCAAGTTCCCTGTGCCATTGTCCAGAGATGTCTGCTTTGGTGCCCGAAGCTGAATAGCCCTGGTGAACCTTCAAAGCCAAACTGTGCTTGTGCATAAACTATCTTTTAGTAACGAACATATTAGTATTAACATGATTACAGTGACTTAGTGGAATGATAAATTATAGCGTATTGCAATCTATTCTGGCATTATAATTATTCTTCTACTAATTTTGTATGAATAAGTTAAAAAACTATGTCAAGCTTTCTTATCGTACTCAAGCCATATTTTAATGAATTTGATTTGTTGATTAGGACAAAATTCCATAAAAACACCCGCCCTTTTTGAAATATCCTGAACGGTTCTTGTAGGTTGAGCGCCTTGCTCAAGAAAATATTGAATAACAGGAATATTTAAATAGGTTTGTATATCTCTTAACTTTGATATGTTGTTGGTGGCTTTGCATTTAGTTCCTTTAGCATATAGGCTTGTTGATCTTGTTAGTAACTATTTTAAACATGTACAAAGTCTCATTGACTTTTTTATATAGAAACGAAGTCTCAATGATTAGGTGGAGATTCAAAAGGACTGGAGAGCTTGTTTTATATTGTCTGTCCTTTCTTCTGTGTCTTTGTTTGGAGATATCTTATCCCCTCTGTATCTCTCTAATAATACTTTATATTATCCAAAGAATACTGATTATTACTGGCACCTTCTCTGGTATATACTATTGGTGTGCCAAGCCTGCTCCAACATGGTGGTGGGGTGACAGGTTAAGATTTTCAATTTGAGCAGAAGTGGTGCTCTATATAGGTTTATAGGTTCTGGTTTTGCTTTTCTAATTTATAGCTCAAGTGTTTCAGCTGGATGTTTTTTTTTAAATGCATCTAAATTTGCTATAATAGCATAAGATTCTATAATGATGAATCGATGATAAAGCCCATTTGCCCAAAATGGACATTAAGGTTTCGTTTGGTACACACGTTAGAACCAGTGTTTAAAAACCCGGCCCGGCCATCGACCCGGCCGAGGTAAGGGGTCATGGAGTCACGGGTTCAACCGGGGGGTCATGGGGTAACTATGCTGACCCGGTTTTATATATTAAAAATATATGAATATATATATCATATATAAAAATATTAAAAAACAAACCACTAATTATCAAAGATTCAAAATATACTTAACATAATTCTCTAATTACAATCACAAGTCAATATTACACAACCTAATTAAAGTATCAAGATACCAAAGTACAAGTCAATATTCTAATGGGGTCAATACGATGACCCGGTTCTGCCTCTTTGGAGAAGGTCCCTGACAAAGAAAAATTTAAAGGAATTAAGAATGAGTTTTTGTTTTCCATCGACGACCGTAAGGATTTCATCTGAATAGATAAAATTCTTACCTTTTCTAGAAGATTCACGTCTACGAGGTGAAGATTGAAGACATATAGGTCACTGGGAGAGAAGAGAACGATTAGATTTAGGTTTGCAAGCATTTTTATTTTTAATTTTTTAATAAAACGAAGTTGTTTCATGGAATTTTAAAAAAAAAAAATAAACATGCAGTGACCCCCTTTAACCCCTTTGACCCGGGAGTCACTGAAACCAGGCCGGGTTTTGGGGGTCGGAGAGGTCGATGTGCATATAGGGTCCAACTTGTAACCCCAACCCTCAGAGGGTAGGGGTCAGGGTTGACCCGGGTCAACCCGGGGGGTGGGGTGGGGTTTTAAAACACTGGTTAGAACGTGACAGAACATAACATATTGGTTCTTTTCTATGAACAGAACTAGACAGAGGTTAAAAAAGTTGTATATTTTGGTTCCATTCAAAATAGAACAGAACCAAACCATTCCATTCCATTCTGTCTACAAACCAAATGCCACTTAAAGTTGAAATGACATAGAACTGTGTAGTAAAGATCAATTGACATCCTACTTGGGTTGGCTACTTGAAGTACTGATCAAGATTTTTGGTTCTGGCCCCTTTTTTGCACCAGAAAAAAGTATCAATTAACATCAATTGTTATGATTGTATGGTTTTCCTAGGTTTATTAATTTTTTTAAAGAAAAATTGAGCAATGCCCTTGATCTGCTTTTGAAGCACCCATGAAGCAAAAACTGAAATATCTGCTGATAGTTCAACTTAGCAAACGAAATATTGCTTTTAATGGAGTTAAGATAATAATAAGTAATGCCAGAAACTGAAAGCAACGAAGAACAAGTTAACTATTCTGGCTTGAAATGTCCATGCATTGACAAGTTTTATTTTCTTTTTGACAGGAAGCACCAGAGCATAATGCTAAGGAGACTCACAAAAAGACTAAGGCCAGTGGTGGCAAGAAGAAGAAATAGTTGGCTTTGAGTCTTAAATAGGCGAGTCATATATATGTTGATCAGGTTAGACTTCTGGATGTCTTGTTTTTTCATCATCTGTTACTGTGATTGTCCCTTTTGCATGCATTCACATCTGTGACTGCATCTCTCTTTTTCTCTGGTTTCTTGCAGTTAGCATGAAGGAGGATCCATTTGCAATGCGCAGTCTTCCAAATTGTAAAATATTTATGTGACGTAGGTTTGAGGAATTTGACTAATGTAAGCCAGAGAGTTCTGCTTCTCACTTGCAATTACAATTTGAGATGCGGTACTACATCTGGTAGTGATATTTTTTTTTTAATACATTGAGAATCGAACACATCACCTATTACCCACTATCCACCCCCTCACCGCTGGGCTAGCCCTAGTGGCTAGGTAGAGATACTTTAAATCCTTCATTTTTGGGTTGATTTGGCTTGCGTCTTCCTTTCTTACTGCTTTGCGTGACTATTTCACTATCTTGTATTTCTTCTGGTTAATTGCACGCACGTAATTGTAGTTGCAAGAGTCACTGGAATTTAAGGTCTTGCAAGAGTTTTATGTACTAAACTAATACGTAATTATGTAGTTTAGTTTTTGAGATGAGTATTGGGTTACATTTAATTCAAATTTGTACAAACCTAAATTAAACCAACTTTAACCGATTTTTTATCCAAAACTTAAAACCCGACACTATAAAATATGGTTGAAAATTGAAATACATTTCTTTTGGGCTGGGGTATACTAAAGAGGATAGTGGCAAAAAGGCAGGACGAGGAATGATGATACCAGTTATGAGACAAAATAGAATAATGAAGAAAGATGCACTTGCCTTAATGCCAAAACAAGTTAAGCCTATACTTGATATTCAGTTTTGACAAATTGCATTTTTTATGGCGATTGGCGGTTAGTGAATGGAATAACGTAAATGATAAGTCATTACTTTTCCACTATTCTAGAAAAAAAACAAGCGAATTATTGTTCTAAGTTCTAACAGTATCGTCGAGTTGTTTTTAGAAAGAAAACAAATATGTTAAATGATAAGTCATTACCTTCAATTTGAATCTTATGCTGGAAATAATTGAAATTTAAGTAATAATTGTAGAGTAAACCATCAACTTAGTTTTCCAAAACGGGTGTCATCATATCATCCATTCAAATATAATTGTTACTAAATTAGTCTCCCAAAGATTTTTTCCTCTAAATTAGTCCCTCAAAAATCTAAAATGTTTACCATATTCGATGAGCTTTGTGATTTCACTTCAGGATATTTTGTTGTTAAACCTTATTTTCTAGCGTATCTTTTTTCTTGTGTTTGTCACGAGAACAATATGATTGTTCATCCACTTGCTAGGTAATATGTGGATCTTGATGATGTAGAAGTTTGGTTGGAGACTTCGCGACCTGTCATCTTTAATGTTATTGTGTTTTGATTTTTCTTGTCTTTTTTGGCCCCCACAAATAATGGCGTGGCTTTTTCAGATAATATTTAAACCCTTGCATTGTAGAGAAAGTCTGGTTACATGGTTGGTTTGATTACCAACTGAATCACATCTTAATTCTCGTTGAGTAAGCAACCTAACAAATTTAAGCATGTTGACCCTTACAAATACAAGCTGAGCTTAATTGGTAACAGTGACTAGCGGCTCCTCAACAACCCAGTACTCTCTTTTGAATTTTGTTTCTTTACTTTTAAGTCTTTCCCCTATTATGTTTTTTACTTTTTCGATCAGTTCATTTTATTTGTCGCTCAATTACTCATTTAAATTTGTTTAAGTCACAAGTTACTCCACGAGACAATACAAAATAGTATCTGCAACAGGGATTCATTATTTTTAACATATTAATAATACTACATATACCTTACAAGATTATTATAATAAAGCTAAGTGACCAAGGTTACTCTTCTCCACCTAAATTTGTCGTTAACAATTACACTTCATTTATGACACATACTCCAAATATGCACAGATGTCTACACACCTGATGTGGAAGAAACTTCATCCTAAAATGAAATTTGTATTGTCAATGTACCTAAAATGAAATCTTTTTAGTTGAATTGATTTGATAATAAAATTAATGGATATTTTTCTCATGCTACATGAGAAAAATCCTTTCGTGCATACACAAAATGCAATGTGGTTTCCACTTTACGTTTTTCTATCTCTTCTAGTTAGTGAAATTCACATTGTACTTTATGTATACATTAGAGAATTTCTTTCTCACGTACCATGAGAAAAATAATATCCAAAATTAATTTTAAAAATACTTAAGAATTTCCTATATTAAGAGAAGCAAAAGGGTCGAAACTTGAAAAGGGCCCAAACCAAAACTGAGGCCTGAGGATGGCCTTTGTTTGCCTTTGACTTGGGGTTTGGGATGATCCATCTGGGCAACTAACTGTTCTATAAGTTCAAGGACCCGCACGCGTGACCAAAACAACTGGCACGTTTCAAGCTTTAAATTCACACCCCATTTTTTCTTTCTTTTATGTCAAACCAAACTTCAATATCTCCCGCAGTCTAGCTTCAAATACACAAAACCCCACCTTTTCTAACTCATCCTAAATATTCCAACAAACAAGTTTGTTTGTCAATTTATTTGGCTAATAAAGTCTTAGAACATTTGCTCATTTTGGTTGCCTTCGTTCATCATAAAACAACAATGAACCTCTCAGACTTTGTGTTTCTCCTGAGTGTGGCTCTGCTCTTAGCCACTGTTATCTCATCAGATCCCGACCCTTTCCAAGACCTCTGTGTCGCCGACCTTGCCTCAGGTACTCACTCCTTTTACATCATTTTTTTTCTCTCTTTTCCTTCTATATACTACACACTAAGAGTTAGGGAGTATGCAAACTTTCGTGCATCCAACAAGAGCAACCTGGAAAAGAACTCTCTCCCCCACCCCGCCATTTTTCTTTCATATAATATACGAGAAAGTTTAATGTGCAAGAGTTACATCAAATATTAATTTTTGATCTCATTTATATTTAAGAATTATAATTTATTAATGTATTGTGAGCAGTTAAATACAAAATAACTAAAATATAATATAAGAGTTATTATTATTATATTGCTAATCGGTAGAAGTTGTTTGCTCATACTTAAAAAATTCTGACATGTCAACACATATCGCAGAGACTCAAAAAAGAATTCAAAAGTTGTGTTGCATTGCATTTTTAGTTTTAATTACTAGATTCGTTGAATCATGATTATCATTTCCTTGAGTTTAATATAAATATTTAAGATTTTTTTTTTTTTTATAAAATTGATTGGTATTATAAGTTTAACTTTTTTTTTGTTAAATTATTGAATATTAAATATAATATACACTACATAAATTAAAAATATTATTTAATATTAAAATATGTTTTAATATGTCAAAATATAATATTTTTTAGATACGGTGTTGTATTTTATATTTCATTTCATGTCATGTCAATAATTAGATTTGATGCTTTTATTTTAATTTTTTCCCCTTCCTTTAGCTTTCTTTCACTCAACCTCACTGTCTAAGACTATAACAGTGCTACCAACAACTTTAATTTTGCTTTTTCCTGACTCCACTGTTTAATCATGTTAATCCTATTACAGTGTCGACCCCGCTAACATGATTATGTTTTATTCGTCCCTCTCATGTATTTGTTAACACCACCAAACTGAATGGTTATTTTTTATTTTATTTTTCTAAAAACAATTTTAGCATAGTCCACAACTCTTTGCATATTTTTCCAGCATGATTGGCAAGCGGAATTCACGAGTCTAAACTTCTCTTATTTTAAATTTAATGATAAATAATAGCTATGATTTTTCTTTTCCTTGAAAAGTTTTAATCCTCGAAGTGCTGTGATGAAAAGCAGGTGTGAAAGTGAATGGATTCACATGCAAAGAAGCATCACAGGTAAACGCCTCTGATTTCTTCTCCAACGTACTGGCCAAACCAGGAGAAACCAACACCACCTTTGGGTCCAAGGTGACTGTAGCCAACGTTGAGAAAATAGCAGGACTCAACACTCTTGGTGTCTCTCTGGCAAGGATTGACTATGCCCCAGGTGGCCTCAACCCACCTCACACCCACCCACGTGCAACCGAGATAGTGTTTGTTCTTCAAGGGAAATTAGATGTTGGGTTCATAACCACATCCAATTTGCTCATATCAAAAACCATCAACAAGGGTGAGATATTTGTGTTCCCAAAAGGCTTGGTTCACTTTCAAAATAACAATGGCAAGGTCCATGCTGCTGTGCTTTCAGCCTTCAACAGCCAACTTCCTGGTACACAGTCCATTCCTACCACCTTATTTGCCGCCACCCCACCTGTTCCAGACCATGTCTTGACCAAGACATTCCAGGTCGGTACCAAGGAGGTTGAGAAAATCAAGTCTAGGTTGGCACCAAAGAAGTAGAAAGAAACACCAAGGTGGAACACATTTGTTGTCTTGTCTTTTTTTGTCTATTGTTCTTTTACCCTCCCCTTTTAATCTCTCTTGTCACTTTGCAATTCATGTTTTTAATTGGAGCTCATAAAGGAGAAGAAAGAAAGCAAATGGGCCACATTCATTTGTTTGATAATTGAAATTTGAAAGATGATTCTATGCTTGTTATTCAAATCCCCTCTCACGGGTTCTGTTGACTTGTTTCCTTTTTTTTTTTTTCTTTCTCCCCATCTCTTTGGGGAGTTTAGAATAAATGAAGCTTCCTACCTACCAGAGTCATTGAGTTGAATGCAGAATGTGTAGGAATTAGGATGGTAGATAACTTTTTAATACATAAGCATATATAATCGTAGATCCATTCAGCTCTAGTCAACTGCGTAAATGGATCCCAATATGCAACAGCAAACATTTACAATGTTCAACTTTGAAGGAACTTTTAATTTGTAACGAGTTTTGTGACAGTAAATAAATGTAGACAGCGAATTACTTCGTTAATATATTTTCTGACAATATTTTTTATTAATACATGTTAGTTATGTTATTAATACATCTAAGCTACTTGTGTCATGTATTTACATTTTACGTGATGGCAACAAATAAAGTGCCATATGAGATATAGCCATCCCAGAATCTGATATACTATGTTACAATTTCAGTTTACTATTAATGTTTCCTTATCGCTTTAACTTCAATCATCTTTTGTAAAACTAATAAAGATGGCAAAGTAAATTAATGAAATTAAAGACTTGCCAAAAGAAATTCATCCGGTATTCCCGCTTCGGCAAACATGACCTTAGTAAAGACTATCCCACCCCCCACCCCACAAAAAAAAATTAATAATAATAAAAAAAGGGAAAAAAACGAAAAAAGAAAAAGGCGAGAGCGAAGACTTTTCCAATTGCTAGTCAAGAAACCATTTAAAGTGGTTATTCTTAGATACATAATATAGTAGTGATGGTAAACATGAAAATAGTTGCACAAACTTCTAATCCCCATTACTAACTGCTAGCCTTTAATGTGGATTGATCTCTAAAACAGTTTTAAGAACAAAAAGATCACTTTAAACATGTTTGCTGCCTGCCATCGGGGATTGCAAGTAACACGATTGGTTTTGAGGGACGAATGAAGGGTACATCACACTTGAAATATCCCTTCCTCTCCAGCTGCAATATCTCTCCACGCTGAAGATTTCGCATGTTGGAGTCTCCAAATGCCAGAGTCTCCTTTTTCGTACATGGGTTAAGCACATCAATGAAATCCTCCCCTTCTTCAAGCTGCAACCCAAAGAACAAACACTGTTAACAATACAAATTCTTTTGGGTATGACAGTGACTGCAAATCAAATTCGGTAAATGCTAAAACAACTCCTGGTTTGAGTTTCACAGGGAAGCAGGCAGGTTTAAACTTCAAAGTTCTCAAAGCAAAAGTAACAGATGAAAAGAACATTGAACTAAGGATTCATTTGTCTTAAGCAGGATAGGACACAATGGTATAAGAGAATGGGATCAGGCTGGAAAGTATAAGAAACTATGAATTCTGATAACATCTATTATAAGCTGCACAAGTGCATAAAAACACCCGATGGTATAGACAAATATCCACTTAGACAAAATGCCAATGCATATTGGTGGGGGTGATATGATTGCTGGAGCTGCGGCGGTCAGGGGAGGAGGTAATGTAATGGTGGTGATGGAGGCAATAATGGTTCTAATAGCACATACTGGGAGCAGTAAATAGTGATGTGGCGGTGGTGGTAGTGAACAGGTCATGTGTATTGGTGATGGGGGGAGTGGGCAGTGGGAATGATGTTTAGTTTCTTATCCTATCTAGCTTTAACCCAACCCCCTGGGCAAGATGTCATACGGGAAATACAAGATAAAAAATATCCTCTGGATATTATGCTGTGTATGCACCAAAAATTGTACAAAGGCCAAATGGGATAGCTTATCCTATCGTGTCAACTTTTATCTAATGTTTCAAACGGGGCCAAAGGCTCTAGAGAATTGAAGATGCCAATGAGTCTGTGACAGGAAGACAGCAAATTCAGTACCATATAGGCAATAAAATTAAGAGCTGTCTTTTGTAGGCACGTTTTAGAAGAAGTAATGTTTCAACTCAACGTTATAGATTCATCTGCCACTGCACTGGCTTCGACTAAGAGAAGATCTAATTCTATATAAACAAAACAGCTTTTGCATATTTACTATATTTTTTTCTTAACAATTTTATATTTCTTAATGATAGAAACCAATAGGCTTCATTACAGTGGACAAATACATACCTTTTTCTTTGTGATTAGATAATCAAACTCCACCAATGTCAGGCTAACTAGTTCATCTATGTCAGGTAGCCAAGTGAGTTTCAATTTTGTGGTCTTCACAGATCCTTCAAGATGCAAAACACCACTCAATTCTGTGACAATACCATCTTGGTCCTTCTCTATTTCCTTCACTATGGCGTTTCCCCAATCCATTAAGGTTACTTCCTCACCCGGTGATATAGATTCTGCATCAGCATGGTCAATCCATATCTTTTTAGTATATGTTGTAGCTTTATCTCCAGCAGCTTCATATTTCTTGTGCCGAGGTATGATGCGGACAAATGGTTTCTCAGGACCATCAGTGAGAGTCAACAACACACGTCTGTCTGCAATAACAGCAGTGTGTCTAGGACAGACAGGGTCAATAATCTTCTTATTAATGGTCCAGAGCTTGTCCCATTCCATGAGATTGAGATTTTTTGACGCCCCCTTGACAAGTATCAGAGAAGAGTCATCAACATTCTAAGCATATGAGTAATACATGAAGAATGCAGAGAAAAAAAAAGCATAACAATTGATGAATACATTCTACAGTATCATTTCTAATTTTTAGAGAATTCATCTTTTTTCTTTTTGAATATAAATGTAAGTAAAATCTTTTACGTACTTGTTCAAGTATAAACTGTATTAGTGCTTCGATTTTCAAACCTCTGCGCACAATTCCTTGCACTGTAGGAAATCGTGGATCATCCCATCCATCAACTTTCCCATTTTGGACAAACCACAGTAACTTTCGTTTGCTGAGAAGAGTGTAGACCATATTCATCCGGCTGAATTCATAGATGAGAACTTTTCTAAGTCCCATGTCCTCTTGAATCCAGTAATACTGAGCATTGCGATCATGGTATTCACTAGATCGAAGGGCATGCGTTATACCTTCTCTAGCATCAACAAACGGACATGCAAAATCGTACGTTGGGTACACTTTATACTTGGACCCAATTCTATGATGAGGCATTGGATTGCAACGATAATAAACAGGATCTCGAAGCGATTTGTTTGGGTCCTGCATATCCAACTTGCCACGGACACAACATTGCAAGCCCCTCTCTGATCCTGCAATCATTTCCTTCCATAATTTCATATTCTCCTCTACACTATGGTTTCTGCATTTAGATTCAATGCCATCCATTCTCTCTTTTTGCATTTGTTCCCGTGGAGTGTCATCAACATATGCTTTACCCTGGCGAATTAATTTTTCAGCCATTTCCATCAACTCAGGGAAGTAATCTGATGTATATGTAATTTGTTCATATTTGATACCTAATGTATCAATATCTTTCACCAAATTGTCGACAAATTCATTACTTTCTTTAGCAGGATTGGTATCATCAAAACGCACAATAACCTGGCCTTGGTATCGTTCAGCAAAATATTTGTTCAACAGAGCTGCTTTTGAGTGTCCAATGTGAAGATAGCCACTAGGTTCAGGTGCAAATCGCAAACGAACTTTTCCAACTTCAGCATCTGGAAGATCTATTTCCGCAGAAGGTTTGCTTCCTCCTTTAATATTTTCAGATACATCACCATTAACATTCTTCACTTTATCAGTGACTACTGGCTGGTCTTTTGACTTGGTTGCCAATGGCTCTCCCAATCCTTTTTTGCCAACATATGTTGTGACTTCATTTAAGACAGCGCCGTATTCTGTCACTATTGAATTGAACCATCGTACAAGATTTGGATATTTCTTTGACTTCCTTAGACTTTCCCATCTCTTTCCAGTTCCTGCAAAAGCACAGCATACATAGAATGATAGAATCTAGGCTGTAGATAATAATAATGGACCATCAAGATACACAGAAAATAGGTTGAAGGACCAATTGCCTGAAAAGTTAACATTATAAGTAGAACGAAGAATGATCAACCACAGTATAGTTCCTTTTCTAAACAACACAGTAAAGCTAACACTAAATTTAGTTTGTCAACATGGATACAACAAAGAAATAACCTCAAAGTGCAACATAAACGCAAGGATTTTCTCTTCCATAGGCATGTTGTTTAAAAGAGACCTAGCAATATAATGAGTGAAGTTGAATAGGTATCATTAAAAAACCTTTACCTGCAAGACCTGCCCAGATTGCTAGGTCTGCAATTGATAATGAATGACCAACAAAAAATGTACGCTTCACCAAGTACTCATCTATATATTTGCATCCACTCTCAAAAGCAGGGCCTGATGAGAGGACAGAAGCATACTCCAGCCATTCATCAATCTGAAAAGGGAAATGAGGAAGAAGATGATACAATGAGTTAACAACTAGAAGCAAATGACGATGAATGAAAGAACTATTCTGAAGACAATTTAAACTTCCATCCTTAAGCAGCATTATTACTTTATCATGAAATCATTTCAGTCTTTCAGTTCACTAAAACATTTTTAAGGAATCTAAATGCATTACACGACATAGATGTTACATCAGGAGAATCACCTGGCCAGATTCAAATGCATTTTGCCCATAGAAACCGGGAATGCTGGCAACTCGCCCAACATATCGTAGAAGAACACATGCCCCGTGCAATTTTAGCCTGCAAAGTAAATGTGTTCATTAACAATTAGTAGATAGTAGCTATGGTTGCTCTGCTAACATGATAATCATGGGAAAATCGAACAATCATATAGCAGATACGGTGAAAAAATTTCACCATAATCCATACAGAAATAAAGCATATATAAACACAATACTCAATAATTACATCACATTAAATCATAAACATACGGTATGTTATGCTTGATTCGAAAATTCACAATACCACCCAAAAGGGAGCTGACAAATTCAATTTTAAGCATTGCATCGATTAAGATAAATCATCTAAGACTGAAAACGAACTTCAATGAAGACATCGCACTACAATGTCACTGACTCTTGGTTTATTTTGAAGTTGTTAACCATATGGTGACAGTGCCCAGTTGCCACAGTGAAAAATGAACTTCGCGGGGGGAAAAAGGTGAAGATTATGGATTGTGTTAAGAGAAATAAGCAGATCAGAAATGTACCCATCGGAGAAGAGAAGCGTGGGAGCGGAGTCGGGAGGGAGAGAGGTGTCAATCAGGGGAGAGATTCCGGCGAGCTTGACGGCGGCGATCACCGATAAGGGTGGTGTAGCTGCGGCGAAAGCAAAGGTTTTGATGTCCATGCTAAAAGAATAAACACCAAAGATGCGTGCACCTCAGCGGAAACGCAAGTGCAGTCTAGGTTAAGCTTGTTTAACCAAAGTTGGCTTTTATATTCTCATTTTTTTTATAGGAGGAAGCGTGTTGAATTGAGATTTTAAGGAAGGGTTCGCTTTTTCTGCATTTACAATACGATGTTGTTTTGGGACGAAAATCATATGTCTTTGTAATTTTAATTTATTTTAGGATTATAATAGTCTTTATATTTATAATTTTTTAAGATTTCAATACCAAAACAACGTCGTTTTGGAAATAAATGCAGATAACTTCTCTGCATTAACTGCGGAAACATTTTTCCATTTAGTAAAATAGGAAATAATTTTTGTGTCAATAGATAGTTAAAATTTTGCTTTCAAAAGTCACAAAGTAATTTAAGATTTCAATATATCGATTGAAAATAATTTGAGAAATTTTATAAATTTTGATGTAATAAAACCCATAAATTAAGATTTAAAATTTTCTCAGAATACTCAATGAAAATATGGATATGATATATGGTTAGAAAGCTCTCGTCACATATAAAAAACCTTTAGGTTTTCAAGATCAATTGAAAAGAATTTCAAACAAAATTTTATCATGAACTTTATGTTTTATATGAAAATTTTGAATTATTTTAGTAAATAAAAAAAATGTGAATATTATAAATAGCATACCTCTCTCGTAATCTTACCACAGCCCTTGAAACTTCTTAAAATTTTGAAGGCCTTGAATTTAATAGCATCTGATTTGAATTGATGACTAAACTGGAACCTACTATGCCCACTAAAATAGTGATAGCACAAGGTTTTACCCTTATTTCAAGGTATGTGATAATTATCTAATCATAATAATATTCATTATAATTGTCATTATTATTATGTATTTTTCATTAATATAATTATTATTATATATGAATAATTTTAGGATTGCATTTGAACTATTGATGGTACACATATTCCTATAATGGTGAGGGACAAATGTAAGCTGTTATCGTAATTAAAAGATTTCACAAAATGTATTAGTAGTTTGTAATTATTTTTATATTAGGTATTAGTTTTTTTTTATCAATATCATTGCATTTCTTTGTTTTTTTTATTGGCTCTTGTAATTTTATGACTTTTTAAAATTTTATAAATTCTTATTGTCCTTTAAAATCTTATAAATTCTATTAAAATCCTTTAAAATTCAATCTTATAAAATCTTAATTGTAAAAAAATCTTTTAAAATATTCTTAAAAGTCACTATAATTATAGATAGTCTTTTAAAATCTATTAAATTTTTTATCTCAAAATACTACTTTAAAATATTAATCCAATACACCCGTTAAATTTAGATCATATGGAGAACGCTTATATAATGTTTAGGGGAAAGCCAGGAACCTCGTTGAAAAGTGAAATTACATGAAAAATTAAATTACATATTACCTACTAAATAACAACCTTCAACGAACTGTAACAACCCTTATTGGCTCTAATTTTTTATCTTAACTCTTTTTTAATTCCTTTTTTCACTTTTTGTTTTGGACTTTAATGAATACAAGCCTGTAGGTGTAAACTATTCAAAGGCTAGGCCCATAAGGAGTTTTCCTTTGGGATGAAAAAAAGGAGAGATCAATTAAAAAAAAGGGAGGGAGAAGTTTTATTAGACAACATTTTTATAACCTAGTTTTAATAATAATACAATTAAATATTGCACTCCAAGTGAACTTACTTTACAAACTTGTTTCCTATTTTTTTAGCTGAATTTTGATTCATAATATTTAATGCTCAAAAAAGGGGGGGGGGGGGAGAGGGGGGTGGAATGAATGCCAAGGAATAAACTCTCTCTTCTTTTCTTTTTTTTCATTTGTAAGTATGTAGGCATTTTTCTAAACTTCATTAAGTTTATAAAAAATCCTAATTAGTCATTACATATGAAGAATGAGCAAAGGCTGAATTTTTTTTAGTCATTTTTGAGAATTTGAATCATCATTAGTAGTATTATATGTAAGCTACTTTATAACTCATGGATCCTTTGACATCATTGTCAAATTTGACACCTTATCTGATAGTCGTTAGATAAAAAAAATCAATGATGTCACATGCTTGCAAATTAGAGTCGTTGATCTTTTTTGATCTAACGGCTCTCAGATGAAGTGTCAAATTTAAAATTTGACACTGGTGTCAAAAGATCTTACCTCTATTATTAAATATCATAAATTTTTCATTTCTATAGCAAATTTATAGAAAAAGAAACACAATTACCATAGAATATAAAACTGCATCAAGGAAAGAATCAACGGTAATTGCAAATAAACAAATGGCACGTAATAAATCTGCAAGTCAATAAATTGAAGCGCAAAATGCCTCCACTGCAAGTAGAAAATGTTCGGTACAAAACAATGTCTAACAAGGGCAGATACAAGAAAGACAGAATTAGCGTGGTAAAAATCAATGCCATTAAACATGTTCCAACGTTTCATTTTGTAACAAATGATCCATAGTTGCTGGAACAATAAATAAAGAAAAACTGGACTGAGAAGTGAGAATAGGTCCAGGAATGTGTAGGAGATTAATACATATGTACAACGTACGTTACAAGAAGTTACATAAACATGAAACAAATTAGAATTACATTGAACAAGGAACGCAGTTAATTTCTTCTGATGTACACAACAGATTGTGGTGTGTATCATCTTATTCTTGTTCCAAAATTTTAAGCTTTCAACTTGTGGGCTGCAGCAAGTTCAGCAGATAGGATTAAAGATGATTTGCCTGCTTCCCTTACATAACGAACATCTCCATTCATGAGCTTTAGCAGCTTTCTACTGATGAGCAAGCTAATACCCTCCTCAGATTCTAGTCCAATATTTCCAAACATCTGGTTCAGCAATGCTTCTGGCACCCCACCACCACCATGTGTTATGCTGCATAAATGACAAAAATAAACCGTTATTAGTTTAAGCTAAGCTTATCTGTTAATCACGGTTATAATGCAAGTTTCTTCTTTCTTTTTTGGATAAAAATAATTCAAATTTCTTTTTATCAAGAGAGTATAACGTGTTAATGACATCATGCATCAGTTCATGTCACATTTTTTTTCTCTCTAGGCATTTAAATCACATATACAAGCAGGATTACAAAAAGCAGAACCAGATAAGTTAATTAGAGAGTTTCAAATTGAGTGTGGAAGAGTTACCTGAGCTCCAAATTAACAAGATGGACAGATTTCCCTAACTGTTCTTTGGTTAGAGAGGCTGCTACAACAACCTGACCTCCATTTGGTGTAAAATTGATGGAAACCAGTAAAAAATCAGCCATGACTTGCTGAAGCCTAAGGCTATCACCATATAAGGTTTCCATCGTGACCTGCTCTGCAACATCATTGACTATTCGGATACCCTTTTCATTACTCTTTGTCATGACTTGACTAAAGGAGGCAACCAATACATCGTGCAGAGTGAATTCAGCCATCTCAAGATCCAAGTAGCTGCTGAAACATACAGGAAAAAAAAGGAATGAACAACTGTTAGGAAAGACACCAAGACAAACAATGGCAGAAACTGTATGTATTTTTAGTCCTGTATTCATTATTCCACATACACAAACTAATCTAGCATTACCTATTGACTTTGAAAGCAGTGAAAATAAAGCATCTACTTGTCCCTTTTTTTTTTTTGGGGGGGGGGGGGGAGTAAGACCCAAGCATGAGGTTAACTTTCTAGTCTTGAGCTTCAATGATGTTTCAAATAGGAACTTCTATGCATTACTAGGGGCTCTAATTGATAAATGCTTAACAACATACGAATGCAAAGAAAAAGAAAAGAAAAGAATATTCACAGAATCATACCCATCGATGATGCTGTCAAGATCTGAGTCGTCAAGAATTTTACTAAGCTGGCGCTGGCACTGAGCACTAGTTTGCAAAAGTTGTTTTTGTTCTGTTCCCAAGTCAGTACCCTCCAACATTTTCCCAGAAATCATAATCCCACATAAAGGATTTCTAATCTGTCTTTTCATATAAGTTAATGCTTTCAGTCTCTTTAAGGAAGTTTGTTCAGATAGGTGCTGAATATGCAATGCTCGTTGCAGCTCTGGGCTAGCTAGCTGCAAGAAGCAGAAGACTCCAGTAACTAAGCCCTCTATGTCTAATTTCTTACTCACAGAAAGAAGGCATTCTACATACTTGCCATTCCGAGTAAAGAAACCAAAAGCAACCTTCTCAGTTTCCAAACCAGTCATGGCTTTATTAAGTACAATGCCAAAATTAACAAAAGCTTCTTGATTCTTTAGACGACAACAAGCCATCTGGGTTCCAAAAACCTCTCCTAAAAGCATTTTATCCATCACTTCCTCTCGCTTCCATCCAGTTATCTTTGTCATAGCTGAATTCCACTCACAACACCAGCCAAATTCATCTGTACCAAATATAGGAGGGATTAATGGATTCGGGTTCTGTACAATTGCCTTGTAATCACCTTCAATTCGGGTGAATTTGTCCATGACAGTCTTCTGAGCAGTTATATCTTGGGCCACAAAACAAACCCCCACAACATTATCTCGGAGATCCCTGCTTGCACAAGCATTAACTATCAAACTAATAGGACCAGAATCCATCTTAGTCCCATGCGTTTTGATCTCAAATTGGACGTTCTTCTCTTCTTCACCTATTACATTGTAACAGAACAAATCAACAATTTAGAAATATGGCAAGTAGGTTAGAAGAATATAATCCCATTGTGTCAGAGAAATTGCACCAAATCCCCAAAATAAAAAAGACCACACAACTCCTAGGGTGTTCCATTCCTTCCCAAGTATAGTGTGGGCACAAAATTGATTGAAATTGTCAACAAGACATACTTTTCTTCCAATAATTCTTCATCAATGCAATATTCATAGATGCCTCTTTTAGGAAAATGATATTCTCAGTATCTCACAGCTATATAGTCATAAGACACACACACACACTCGTTTTCAAGCTTTTGCACATGAATGCTAAGGCTTAAAAAACAAAGAAAGAAAAGAGCTT